TATTTGTAAATAATTTTGGTCTGTGATTAATTTTTAATAATCAAAGCATTTCTTCTGGTTTGTAATTGAATAAGGGAGGAAACAGTTATTAATTTGAAATAAATAGAATAAATTTGGTTTTAAAATGTTGGGGATTTCCTGTAGAATTTTCATGGTAAATTAATCTTATTTGATTCCACCAAAGTATTTGTTCATGTGTTAATTTAAAAATAATTTCTTCTTTATTGATTATATCCATTTATTTACAAACAACTATAAATAAATATATTAAATTAACAAATTAGATAAAGAAATTAGACAATAAATTATGTGAGCAAGATCTATACTAACTCTGAACTGTGACAAACTGATGCTTTTAATATTTTCTTTATGAGAAATTTTGCATTTATTTATTTAATATGAATTTTGTTTATTTTATGTTAATAAAAAGGCAATGCAAACTTATCATATAACATCTTATCTAGTAGCATGTATTTGCTGATTATGCATAATTTTCTGTACATATTTATAATAGTAAATGTTATATAATTATTTCTTCATAATTGTGAGTTATTCTGTCATGATTGAGTAAACATATTGTGTCATGTGCAAATTGCAATGATTTTAGAAAGGGTGTTTAAGTAAAATAATTGTGTGTGTATCTAGAAATTTTGTGCATATAAATTTTTTTTAATAATTAAATGAATTTCCCATACTTTCGTAGTGATGTGGAAAATAGATAACATTACGCAACACATTTTTAACTAAAAAGGAAGGAACTTCCAAATATAGCATTCTTATTAATGACTTAACATATAAAAATATTTCATGTAAATTCTAGTAACATGGAGAAGTTTATCAGAAACAAAGTAGGATTTTTATACTTAAAGTATTTTCCCTGATGTCGACATAATAATTTAAATAATATAACTTAAAATCAGCACAGAACCCTCATTTTTGGATAAATATATAATCATCATATTTTAAATGAATTTTTATTTTATAAAATTGATATTTTTTAAGTAAAGAATTTGAGATGAAGTGTTAATTGATGGTTGTTTAATTAACAATATAATTGTATAAATATTATATTTTGCTGCAGTTAAAACATGATGTGCAGTTTGATTGGAATTTCTAATCATTTAATTTTCAAGGAAGTGAAAAATTTCCTGATTTCTTATTAAAATTTTCATTTATTGAATTTCAAAATACACATTATAAACTTTAATAATTTTTTATCACAAAATTAAAAAAATTCTCCAGTTTTTAAACTCAGTTTTCTTGAGAATCACCTTCATTAAAAATATATTTGCATGCAGTTAAAATATGTATTAAATTACAAAATAAAACTTTTAAAAATACTTCTTAACATTAAGGTAAAAGGAAAAATATTTAATAATAAAATATCATAATTTATGATTTTATTTTGTAAATTTTAGTGTAGTGTTGTAACTTCAATATCATTGACATAATTAAAAAGTACAGCTCACTTTTCAAGTTATGAGCATTATTGAAATAGTCAAGATCATTATGATTACATACATAAATATTGTTTCAGTTTTTTAAGTTAAAATGAATGAATTATGAAAAAAATTTGAAGGTTTAAACATTTTTCAGTGTTCACTTATCAACAAGTGCTGGAACAGAGAAAAAATATGACAAGTGAATGCTGTGACATTTAAATTATTTTTTTTTTACTCATTTAGTAGTCAGTTTATAAGCAAGAATAACATAAATGATTACCTGTGCAAACATTTTGATTTTAAAATTTCAATTAGATACTAAATCAACTAATTTTATTTAACAATTTTCAAATTATTTTTAAAGAACGTCTTTATTATTAAAAAAAAAAGACTATTTTATGAGATTGCATATAAAATTAATTTTGTTAAAATTGCATTTAACAGAATTAATTTCCATCCTATAAAATTCTTTAAGTGAAATTGATTGTATTTTTTTTTTATTTATTTTTTATCAGTAAATCTGCAAAAGTCTGTGAAATTAATTTAATGTGAAAATTAAAGCAGTTAAACAATTTATCTACTTTCTATCAGAGATACAGTTACAGAAATTTTTGTAATGAACAAAATATTTTAAAATCACAATGTTTTTAATAAAAAATTCATACTTTTTAAATATTTTAGTGATATAACAGTTTGTTATGTGGTGATTAGCTGTGTATAGATGGAAAGCAGTAGTTAAATTAATAAGATTATTTTTATTCCTTGTTAAACGAGAGACAAATTTCCCATACTTTCATAGTGATGTGGAAAAAGTTTTAAGCGATCATTAAAAAAAGATACGTAACATTTGATGACAAGTCACATATTATTATTTTTTTCTTTTCTGATTCAACAAATTCTCCTGTTTAGCAAATTACTCCACCAGTCAAACACATTAAACATTTTCTCTTTCTTCATTTTGTAGTGTGAACCAATTTCACAAAATGAATAAAAATCACTTTTACAGTGGTACCTCAGGATACGAAATTAATCCGTTCCGAAACTGAGATCGTATCATGAAAATGTCGTAAGGTGGATCATCTTTTCCCATACGATTACATGTAAAACCAAATAATTCGTTCCAACGCGAAAAACATACTCAAATTAAAGCCAAGTAATACATTAAAAAAAAATAACTGTAGTAAGAAAAACAAATGAAAAATGTGAACTAATGTAACGTCGTATGGTGAGTTTTTGTTCATATCGTGGAGCAAAAATATGTTCGAATTTCATGTCGTATCCTGAAAATTTGTATGCTGGGGCGTTCGTAACCTGAGGTACCACTGTATATGTTTTTACTGTTCACTGTCAGTTTTAGCCAACCTTTAAAACGACTCTCTATTCTTTTACATGACTGGAGGAGCCAACTGATTTAAAAAAAAAAAAATTGAAAAAACTGATATTGTATATTATACTAGACAAGTCCATTGGAAAAAAATAAGAAACAAAAAAAACTTGATCAATTTTTTAAAAGTACATGACTTAATTTTACACTGTTACTTTTCCTTTTATATATTGTTTAAATGTATTATACATAAATTGAAACTTATTTGTTAAAAATTACATGTAAAAATGTATAAATTCAGTTGCATGTATTAATTTGTGCTTCACTATACTTTTGTGACTACTGTATTCACTCTGAAAGCAATCAAAAGCAGTTTCACTTACAGTTTTCTCTCTCACATAATATTTTTCTCTATCTTTCAAAAATGTATCAACTTGTTCAACTGTGTATTCAATTCATTGTAAACATACTAGTGTCAAAGAATTGCATATATATTTTCTTTTCATACTTGGAAATTGAAAATTCAAAGTTTAAGTGTAAGGTGGTGACTTATGTATATATGTACATATCATAACATGTGTATATATGTACAAAACCAAATTATACTCTTGGATTTAATACAGTATATGTATACATTTAGTACATATATAAATTATGCTGGAATCAAAGGTGATGTTTATTGACTACAATAGATTTACAGTCAAAAATCACTATTTGATCTGCTAGTCAATCTGTGTGAATTATGTACATAGTACTATTTTTTTATAGGTAAGTGTTGTTGTTATATTGAAAACATGAGGAGTAATGTAAGAGGTACGCTAGTTCTAAAATTTGGTGGTGATGTATAGGGTCCTTAACTTTTTGTAATAATCAGTCTCTAAAGATGCAGAAGCAAGATTGTAACTTAATAGACAGATATATAAATATAAAGTTTAAAACCATAGTATGTTTACTATGGTTTTAAACTTTATATTTAAACTTTTATATGTAAACATGTATGTATATGTAGCTATTTATATACATGTATGTATATGTAGCATTTTATATGTATATGTAGCTAAAATTACATTATTAGTTAATGTAATTTGTTGCAGTTCATCTATTATTTCTCATGTATTTTTAACAGTAAATTTATAGTTCTTTAAGTGTGCTGTTAGTAGAGTGTGTATTACATTTTCCAAGTATCTGGTTGGTGAGTCAGCTTTGTCCTGCCATGGGTCTTATCAAAGTGCTTGATTTATGAGTTTTAGCAAAAGCAAATATCCTGGGTATATCAGATGAGCTGATCACCACCTTGTTCAAGATTTAATCTTCTGGCTAGTGCAGAATATGCAAATCTGATGACACATTTATGTACATGTATTTGAAAGTAAAATTAAAATAGATCTAAATAGTATAGTTGGTAGCAATGTCTGTCAGTATATGTAGTTCTGTGGCTTGAATCTACTTTGGATCATTTTTTCTTCCAGATATTTTAAATTAATTATAATTGTTAAATTCAATAGAAGATGGTTGTATTGCTCACTTCTAGAACCAAATTGTATCATTAATTTAATTTTTAAAAATTGTAGAATTATGGATAACTACACAGCACACCTGGATGAATATAAGACTCGCATCAATCAACCAGAATTTTAGTTCAAAGTCTGAAATATTTTGGCAAAGATTTTTTATAATAGATATATTTAGTGAAAAGTAGATGTATGCTTGATTAATGACTTCCAAAAAATTCTAACATACATAAAAACCAATTTAAACAAGGAGTTATGGAACTGAAAAGAATTTGGTTATCAAAAATGGATTGATATGTTTATTAAATTGAAATCTAGTTAGGAAGTAAATATTTTTGATGAGAATTTCCTTTAAGAATTCAAGCAAAATAAACTTAATAATTAATTATTTAACTGTTAATTTAAATTTCTTAAAATTTCTTTGGTGAATGGAAATTAAATAAAATTAAAATTATGCATTCATTTAAATAGCAAATAAAAAATTTTCCTTCAAATATAGAAATTTTTATTTATTTGTAATCATTACAAAAAATGAAAGTTTAATTATTTTTAGATACGCCAAACAAACTGCCAGATTATTTATTGGACTGTAATAATCCAGCAGTTCATTTGACATATCTAATAGAATCAGGTTGATGTGTATGTTGTTAATTATTTTTAATTTTTTATACATTTTTACTAATATAAATTTATATTTTTAAAAGATTTCATTTGTATTTTTAGTGCGACGTCACAGTTTAGAATTATGTCGACGAAGCTGTTGAAAGGCTTAGTCAGTAAAAATAAACGCAGATATCGAGAAGATGGTTTTGATTTAGATTTAACATGTATCCTTTTCTATGTTTCAAATATATATTATTTATTTTAAAAAATTGATACATTTTTTAGTAATAAGTAAATATTTATATATATTTAATTAAAAACATGAATGAATGAATAAACTTTATTAACCAAATTTTATTCAATAATAGCAATTAAAAAATATAATTTATAATAACACTTGACTGTATTATCATCATCTTGGTATGATGGTAATACAGTCAATACAGCTTTTTGATTTAGAAATCATTCGCGTGTATTCATTTGTGTAAAGTGTCAACAAGTATTTGTAAATATTAGAGAGCATTTAATATTTATGAATTACTGAATATATGATTTTACATTTGAAATGGCATTGCCAAATCATGACTTCCAAACACACAAATTAATTATATTTCATTAATGTATAGTTTTTATTTGAAATACACTGATTTCCCATGTTTATGAATAATAGAACCAATTAATGCTTCATGAATTTATTCTTAAACTTTGAGTTCCATTTTCAATGTTAAATTTGTAATTCATTTTTAAGACTTTGTATTGCTACTGTTTTAAAAAATTTTAAGAAAAATGAATGATTTTATTAAATAAATATACTGTGTGATGGTGTACAGTACTGCAAAAGTCATTTTATTGAAGCCAAACAAAACAGTAACATAACTTATGACAGACCATATGAATGACTTAGTGCAGTGATCTTTTAGCATTGCACATGCTCAAACATCTGGTTTGCATAAGCACCAACTTCAGTTTACAGTAGTATGTAATCTCCCATTTCCCAAAAGGTTGACACCTTTCGTAAAAGTTGAAATTTTGGTGTATAAATTTCCAATTATGAATGATTGAATTCCTAAACACTGATGTCCATGAATGTCAAGGGTATAGTGTACTTTGGTTTAATGTTGTTTTCAGAGCTTATGCTCCAAAAATGGTGGAGCAGAGTAAAAATTTGGTTGTGTTTATTATCATTGTATACTTCTTTTAGAAGTCTCTGGTGCAGAATGCAAAGAAGGTTCAGACAAATAAAATATTATTTAAAACCTTAGTTTGCACTTTAATTATTAAAGATGTATGAAATGTATTTTATATGATAAAGTATGCAAACTAAAAGTCAGGTAGCAAGTAATTTAGTTAACAGCATCAAGTTTTATTAATTACTCTCCAATACTGGAATATAATACTTAAACACAAACAAAACAACTAAACAGCATATATTACCTCAAATTAGCACTTTTATAAATGTTTTCATCTGTTTATAACAGACATCGTCAAGTATATGTAATGCAGAACCAAACAGACAAATCAAAATCTAATATACTTTTTTAATCTAATAAGAAAAAATGAAAAGTTATACCAAACAATGAAAAAAAAAAGACAGCAGTGCTCTCCTGCACGTGCGCAGTTTAAATGAGCCATACTTTATACTTTTTTATAATAGCAGTATATATAAAAAGACTGTCAGAAAAGTGTTATTTTGTCAACATTTTATATAAAAATATACTTTAAAGTTCCAATGTAATCTTTTGAAGAAAGTGTGTTGGAGTGGTTTTTTTTATTTCATTCTCTGACAAAGATTTTTTAATATGAAATGTCATTCAGTTTATTTTAAAATATTACACTGTTTCTGTTTAAAGAACTTTCTTTGTGATATTTTTCACTTGTTATGTTGTTAAATTTTTATGAAATAAAATTTAAGGTGTACAGAAAGTGATGACAATTCTGTATTAAGTCACTTAACTTAGAAAGATATCTTCAACAATATAATTGCTATGGGTTTTCCTGCCGAAAAACTGGAAGGTGTATACAGAAATCACATAGATGATGTAGTAAAGTTAGTATTTTCCTTTATTAAAATTTTTAATTTTATTTTATAATTTATTAATATATTGAAATTATTTATTTTGGAAAATTGCTTAATGCAATATTTTTAATTTTACATTTTTTCAGAATTGTAAATAATAACTGAATATAAAAATAAGAAATATTGATACTTTTAGTATTTTTTTCTTTTAAATAAACTTGTTTTCAGACAAGTTATAGATGTCAAGGAGTTTTAAACGTAAAAATTTGTGGTTTACATTTTAAATAAATGACACAAATTTTCTTTTCTTATTAAATATGCCTGGAGGGGATTTTACTTGTTTGTATACAAGTGGAATATTAATTTTTCATTTTATCCAAGTTAAGTAACATCTTTTGTGCCCAAAAACTGCTTCTGTTTCCTTGTTAGACAGATTTTTGGCTTATAGTAATTTAACATAGAAAATTGTTCTGTTCTGAAGAACTTTTTCCATTTTATTCAGGTTTCATTTGGTTCTTGTTTATTTTGTAATCTCTTAGTGATGTGACACATATGATTGCCATGCCCCATGCAATGCAATGACAAATGCCCTGCATGTGATGCAATATACATTATTTATCTTCATTTACAAGAGCAAAAGAACTTTAAAGCATTTGCTTTAATACCAACACTTTGAAAAATGATTACTTTTTAGGGATTAAAATGGGGCATGGTGTTTTGGGAAGGATCCACTAAGAAGAACAATAATTAAAATATAAATGCTAATATAATGAAATAAACTTTAATGTATTTTATCCCATAGACAAAACTAACAATTTAAAAAATCCAGAATATTTGAAAATGACTTGAAATGGATAACAAACTAAACAATAGATACACTCCTAAAAAGTGAAATCACAATATCATGAAGGAATATGCTTAGCCAAATACAAATTGCAGGACTGATAGAGGTGACAGAGATATGAAAATTATTAAAAGAACAAACAAAAATATGCAACAGACATCTGTTTATTCAGTAATGAATAAGGCCCCATGGACAGCTATATAGGCCACTATACAGAGAGCCATTCAATGAGACAGTTAATGATGACAGATATATGCAAATGATTAAGTTTGAGTATGCATCAGGTCATGTACCCAATTTCAGGCTCTAAAGACTGAAAATTTTCTATGCTTCTTCAAAAGTGAAGCATAGAAAATGTCTCAGAGACATCAGCAAGCTGGAATACCACCAGTTAATGACTAGGGAACAAGATTGTGTCCTGGAGCTGTGTGACCTCTGCTTATCAATGTGTGCAGTTGCTATATATGTTGGCCACATCATGAGTACCATCTAGTGATGTGTGACACAATAGACACAGGAACATCTGCAAATGCACCAAAGAGGGAGTGGATTGCATCAGCACACAACAGACCACACAGACTGGCAGATTTTATGAACGACCAGTCAAGACCCATTTGCCACAGAGATGACATCCAAAGCTGCCCATCACTATCAATGGGTGTGTCTGCGTCCACCCAAACCTTTCACAACAGGTTTCATGAAGTTGAGCTGCATGTCTGGCATGTGTCATCGTCATTGCAACTGGACCACTGAAAGTATCAGTCATTGTTTATAGATGAATCCTGCTTCTGTCTGTGGATGAATGACAGCCTAGATGGGTGTGGTGATATCCCAGGGAACATTACATACCAGTTCTTTTTCTGAGTGTCACACTGGGCATCATGGTTTGGGGAGTCATCATGTTCAATCAGGAGACAGCCCTGGTGTATATTTCTGGTACTCTGACAGCAGTCAGGTACATCATACAAATTGTGGTTCTGTAGGTTGGCCAGCAGTGCAGGCTGCATCTGACAGTGTTCTAGTAAGATTATACCTGACCACACATAGCAGAGTGAACTCTGACCAGCCTGAATGAAATTCACATCCCTGGCCAGCAGCCTTGCTGGATCTCTCTTCCATCAAACACCTATCGGATCTCATCCAATGTGAGGTGCACCAGAGACCACCACCACATATCATAGATGACATGTGCAAAATCAATCTATTTGCTAACTTAAATCTATTCCCCTTTGGAATTCAACAAAAGAAAATTCAAAGACTTAACTTATGTACAACAATTCTTATGAACTAAGATCCTAATTGTCAGCTCAATATACTAGGAACCTTTTTCCTCAACTCTCAAGACTTTCTAATCTTCATTCCACAAATCAAATAACTTCAAATCACCTTGGAACCACTTTATCGCTATTAGACACCTCTGTTTGCTGCTACAAGGCCCACCATGCTCTTGCTAACAGAAGCTCACCTCGGTCATCTTAACTTGAGGTTTGGACTTTATATTATGAGTTGACGTCACAATTCTGATTGAGATCACTCCCCTCATTTACATACTTATTGCTAACAGTAAACTTTTCCTTTCTGCCTGGCAGCCTATTTCCCGACAATACTCGCTAACCTTTTCCTAAGTTCTAAGTTCCTAAGTTGTGCTTGTGGGGTCTCCCCCTCTTCTCGGTGTGGACTTACTTTTTCCGCTTGGGAGTACAAGTGTGTGCTTTTTTTTCATCGGTGAGTTGGTTCTTTTTTTTCTATTTTTAAGTTTCTAAGATGAGTGGTGAGGAAACCTTCATCCCAACAAAAAATAAGCCCCAAACAAAAATAGAATAAAAAGCAAAATAAAAAATAACTAAAAATAACACTCGGACTTGGTTCCTTACACAGGTAATCATTAACTGTCTCATTGAAAGTATGCCTCTCTGTATAGTGGCCTGTATAACTGTCCATGGGGCCTTACTCATTACTGAATAAACAGATGTCTGTTGCATATTTTTGTTTGTTCTTTTAATCATTTACATATCTCTGTCACCTCTACCAGTCCTGCAATATGCATGTGGCTACACCCATTTCTTCATGGTGTTGTAATTTTATTTTTGAGAAATGCGGTTGAATTCATGAACCCTATGAATAACAATATACTTCTGCCAATTCATAGTATATAAAAAAAAGTTATATTATGAAATGTATTGAATTACAGGCTAAATATTAAATTATTTCCTTTATGATCTAAATATTAGAAAAAAATACATATACAGAAGTGATTAAAATTAACAAATTTACAACAAAAATGAGAGCAGTAGCATAAAACAATTCAGATAACAAAATAAACTTTCCATCTACTGGATTTTAAAATAATTTAAAGAACATTATTACAAGAAAAACACAGAATATTTAAATGTCATAAAATGGATAACAATAAATAGTTTTTTTGCGGGTTTATAAACTAAACTATTTATTGTTAAGTTTGTGAATCCACAAATAATGATGTACTTCTACCAAATCATAGGATAAGAAAAACAGTATGATACAGTAAATTTTAACCTGTTTACTTTACAATTTAATTATCAGAAAAAATACATAAACAGAAAAATAAAAATTTATCCTACCATATTACAGAAACAACACATAAATTATTCCTTAATTTTATACCTCAGTCAATGTTATCAAGTGATGTTATGAACAAAACCAGTAAAGTATAACTACATGAATAACAAATTAAACATCAGTTACTTCAATTTATGATTTGATCAAAAAATGATTCCTTTAAAACATAGAAGGAAACAAATGAAATAATCAAATAGACCAGGGATAACAGAGTAAACATAACTTAGTTTATTTTATGAATTTTCCAAATAGGTTGCATTACTATTTTCTTTTCTTAAAAATACATATTCTTTCATGTAGGGAGGATGTGCATTTTTGGTATTTTTTCCTCTTTTTCAGTCTCTCTAATTTTATTAATTTAAAATTACAACTTTATAAAATAATAATATCCCTCTTACAATCTTTTAAAATTCTTATTTAACATAAAAAAAATATACTCTTTTGAAAGTTTATTTATTTATATATCTCTTTTGAAAGTTTAGAGATTTGAAAATATATTTTCAAATCTCTAAACTTTATATCTCAAATCTACTAATGTAAATGATTTCACTAAACTAATTAGTTTTTAAAACATGTATTACACGTTTTTTTTAAATTCAATAATAAGAGTTAGTTAATTGATTATATCTGTTTGTAAACAATTGCATGAAATTTTTCCTCGCATATATGATGTGTGCAACAATTGCATGTATGTCATGTTGCTAATGAATTACAACAAAAACTAGCAACACAAATTTTAATAGATACTTCAGTTAAGTTGTCAATGTTGAAAAATTATACATCAAATATTTGTAAAACAAAATTAACATTGTTGTACCAATGTTTGATATAGACAGTGTCAGAATACTATCTGAAAATGGAACTGTGAAAAACCTTATTTGACAAATTTACGAACACGAAGAAATTTTATAAATTGATGACATTAAAAACAAGTGTGATTTTTTTTTAAACTGATATTAATGGGAAGCATGTAACATGTTGTGTTAGATAATTTAGAGTACAGAATAGCCTGAAACTGGGACATAATCAAATATACATTAGGTATTTTCTACGAAAAGGAAATTGATCTCCACAGCATAGGTTATTCTGTTTCAGCTTGGCACAATAACAAAAATATGCTAATATGCTTCTAACATTCTGTCTAAAATAGTTTAAATCTTGCAGGTATTGGGGAAGACTTGCATATCTATCATCATCATCAACAAAAATGTCAAGAAATGTTTAAAACATCCATACATGTAGCCAGCAGCCTACCAACTTCAGCAACTGGTTAAGCACTGTATAACACACTTGAACATTTTGAAAAGTTAATTTCATGATGACATCATGTATGCTAAATACAACAATTAACACCTAAATGTTAATTCCGGCATTGAATGAACAAAAAATTTTAATGCTCGAACATTTTCGGCTGTCTTTTAGAGGCCCTCCTCAGGATGAAACACACAAAAAAACAGTTCTATCATTTAAAAACTTCTAACCATCGAATACAGCTGTGTTTGGTGGTTAGAAGTTTTTAAATGATAGAACTGTTTTTTTGTGTGTTTCATCCTGAGGAGGGCCTCTAAAAGACAGCCGAAAATGTTCGCGCATTAAAATTTTTTGTTCATTCAGTGCTGGAATTAACGTTTAGGTGTTAATTGTTGTGTTTAGTATATAGTTCCAGTTTACTTGTGCTAGTTTTTTGTCTGATTGTTAAATGTCCATTATAAAGATCAAAATCAAAATTTGCCATGAGTAGTATAAATTGATAGCAATAATAAACTTGATTGATGTAACATGCAACCAGCAATCAGCCCATAGTTTGAATTTCAAAATTTCAGTTTTGTCATTATATTGGTCTTGTGTAGTTGTATATACAGTAGAGTGTCGATTATCCGAAAGTCAATCATCCGAAAGAATTTCAGTCGGCAAATTTAAATTTTCGCTGGTGCTGTGGCGCTGCAATCTTCGGCTATATCTTGGGCTACTCAAATATTTTACATTTTTGATACTAAATTAACTTCTGAAGTATAATTTTTTGTTGTTTTTATATTTTTCAATATATTTATTTTGTTTGTACAAAATAAAAAAAAAATAATTTTTAACAATACAATAGTCTTCATTAGGCTTAAAATTCAACGTGAAGTGACACGCAACGGAGAAAAATTTCAACATGGGATAAATTAATATATTTTTTCGTACATAATCGGTTATCCGAAACATCAATCTTCCGAACAACCCCAGTCCCCAATTGATTCGGATAATCAACACTACTGTATTTGCAAAAAATTGTGTTTAATGGTTATGCAGTTGCTTTGAACTTTGATCACAGACAAAACACTTTCTGACTAATGAACAGTTTTGCTCAATAATAAATAGTTTATTGATATTACATTATAATATGTAGGTTCAGTGTGATCATCAATCCAGACTTTATGGCTGCCCTATATTTTATTAATATAGTTCTTTCAAGTGTCTTTTTCATTATTATTATATATTCACCTTTTTTTTTTGTTTGTTTTGTTTTGTTTTGTTTGTTTGTTTGTTACAGAAAACCAATTGTGTTACAGAAAACACAAAATTGGCCAATGAATGAAATCTATTTGATTTTATTCATTGGACACTTTAATGGACCCAAAAAATTTTGAATTTTATTTCTTGAAAATTTTTTTCCTTATATTTTGTTACANTACAAATATAGAACAAATTATAATACACTCCAACCATTCATGTTTCATGTATGAAGAGATAAAGATATTTTCTGTAAATGTAGAGTATTCTCGATTGAATTCAACGTTATAATGTAAGAATTACGAAGAAAATATAAGAATTTAATAAAAGTTGTCACTTTTATATTCGAATTATGTCGATTCGATTTCGACGATCTTTTAATTGCTATTAATGAAATTATTATTATTATTATTATTTTTACAACTGCAAACATGAAAGTTCAGAAAATATCATCATGCTTATTTCTACAACTAATCATCATTCTTTTATTAATTTTGTCTGTAGAAATTATAGAATATTTAAATGAACTTTCTATTGTATTTCTCACTGTAACCATATTCCTTAAGTTAGTATACTGAACAGTGCTTTATTTTGTATATGAAGCAACAATCTTTATAGTTGTTTTCGTGACAGTATTTTATTTTACGATAATTTAATTATGTTGTCAAATATAATTAACATTAATTCTCTGTGTGCTTTAAGTAATACTTATACAATTTAATTTGAATATATTTATATATATAAACAGAAACCCGACTTCATCGAAAAGACATTCACGACTTAAAACTGGTTTTCATTCGAAAGGTAATGCCTGCTCTCGATCTTATTTGACATCTTCTACTCGATTCGATATCAAATAAGAAACGATGTACAGTCTTGCAGTTTCGTCACGGATATCATATTTCCTTTAGATGTTTTCATATAAATATTTTAAATATCATCATATAAAGTATAATTGAAAGCTTTTATGTTTCAGGGAAGAACGGGAGTGATGATTTGTGCTTACATGTTGCATAAAAGGATATGTGAAACTCCAGAAGAAGCTTTGAATTATTATGGCCAAGCCAGAACTAGAGACCAAAAGGTTTGCTGTAATTTCATATCACCTATTTGCATAGTAATTCATATTAATCAAGATAAGACAAAGGAACAAATTTAAATACTGTAGAACAGCAGGAGCTTACTAGCTTAAAAGAGAACTATCTAAAAGCAAGAGGAAAAAAATTTAAATGAAAACTAGTACATTTTTATATAATGTGTTGCTAACATAATTTTTAGAGTAACTATTTAAAAATATACTTTGCAACATTTAGTATTTTCTTAACTGCAAAATATTGGAATGAGTTTATACAGTAGGATAAATATTAATAGGTTATTTTCAGAATTATAGAGTAGTAGTAGAAATATCTAGTAGTGCTTGAGAAAATTTGATGTTGCATCTTGTCATTGTAGAAAATTTTTTAAAAAGACAGTTTTTAGTACAAAAGCTAGGTATATGTTTGGAAACTTTATCTTGGGATTACAATTAAAAATTTAATAATAAGTGATTAATAATATAAAATAACTTTTGAAAACCTCTAGATACATGCTCTATGCTTGCTCACAGTACCATACTTTTGTGGATTGTCTGGCATTCTGTCTATCTGGAGAGACCACAAAATTCTATATTTCCATATGGTAAAAACTGGCATGTTGGTTTATTCCAAGGAATGCTGGCTTGCCCATTATAATTGATGTTATACATCCCTCTCCAGAGAGTGCATGAAACTCACAGACAGCAGTTTTTATTCTAAAATTGTGAAACTCAGCACTACATCAAAAATTACAATTATATGTTTAATTTCTGCATTTTGTCTTCTTTCTAACCATTAAAATACTCATTTTTTTATGTTTTATTTTATTGTAATTTGTTTGATTCAGAAATGCAAAAATAAACATATAAAATTTCAGAAACTGGTTGTAAATTATCTCAACTTACACCCATTAACATTGTAAAGTACTATTTTATTTTTCCGACTTCTCCAATGATTATCGACACGACTGTGTGACGGAAATATCCGTTTCCTAACAGGTACTTTACGCGGATTCACGTTAGTGTGCCAGGCCTGGACTTTAAGCGTGCACCGAATTAAATAATGACCAAGTTTGTCAATAACAAATCAAATATTTAATAAATAATTCTAATAATAACTATTTACAAAATTTAGTAAAAATCAAACAACAATTTATTCAATGAAAATCAATAAGAATCAACCCGACAAAACTCAAATCAATCTAGTTTCTAACTTAAATCTATTCCCCTTTGGAATTCGACAAAATTCAAAGACTTAACTTATATACAATAATTCTTATGAATTAAAGATCCTAATCGTCACCTCAATATACTAGGAACCTATTTCCTCAACTCTCAAGACTTTCTCTATTCGTCGATCCACAAATCGAATAACTTCAAAATCGCCTTGGAACTATTTGATCCTATCAGACACCTTTCTCGTTCACTGCTACGAAGCTCACCAAGCTCGTTGCTATCAGAAGCTCACCTCGTCCGTCTTCACTTGAGGTTCAGTCTTTATACTGTGAGGTGACGTCACAATTCTGAATGCGATCACTCCCCTCATTTACATACTTATTTGCTAACAAACTTTTTTCTGTTTGTCTGGCAGCCTATTTTCCGACAACACTCGCTAACCTTTTACATTATTCTTTTTGACAATTTTTTGGGATGTTTTATTCTTTAAGGTTTAGCAAGTTCCTAAGTTGTGCTTGTGGGGTCTCCCCCCTCTTCTCGGTGTGGACTTAATTTTTTCCGCTCGGGAGCGCAAGGGTGCATGAGTTTTTTCTACGGCGCTTTTCTCTCATTGGTGAGTTGGTTTCTTTTTTATTTTTAAGTTTCTAAGGTGAATGGTGAGGAAACCTTCGTCCTAACAAAACATAAACCCCAAACAAAAATATAATAAAAAGCAAAAATAAAAGTAAATAAAAATAATGCTCGGACTTGGTTCCTTACAACATCTTCTATGTATGAATTTTGAGAGGAAAGTGCTATCTTTCAAGGTCAGAGTAGACTGTTAGTGCAGCCCACACTAACTACTGTTAATGTCAATAAGCCACTAATTTTTTTATTGCTCTGTAAACAAAAACTCTTTTCCCTTAGTCAAATTACAATGTTATTATTTTATTGTACTGGAAGAATGTTTTCTTTTAATGTTTAATTAACAAAAACTTTTGTTACATCTGATTAATTTTATTTTTTAGTTGCAGTTTAATTGGCATGCTGATAACCCTGGGATTTCCAGCATACTGGTCTCCCCCAGTTATATGCAGCATGCTGGTCAATCCATGGAAATACAGCATGATGATCAATAGTCTTGTAATACTACAGAATGCCATAGTTTCATTGGTCAGATAGCATGCTCTAGTGTAGATAGAGAAGAGATTTTTTTCTGGACAAAAAGAAATCAATGACTTGTCCTGAATGAGAGGATTCATTTTAGAAAGTTCTAAATTTGCTTGTATCATCTTCAAATGCATAAAGAACAGACAGGCAAACTTTCTTCTCAAAAAATGCTTTATAAGCTCTGTGTATATAATGCCATAATGAAACCAACTATTCAATATAATTTATCAATTAGCCTTTAATCCCTTTTTATATATAATACAACTAGTAGCCCGGGACACCCCCTAGTGGGCGTTTTAGCAGTATTACAGATTCCTATGAGGCATGTTTAAAGCAGCGGCAGCTTTACGTTCCTCCACAGTGGCGTATTTCTTTGGTCGTGCCATGAAAGGTTTCTATTATTATATTAAAAAATTAGCTTAACTATTTCAAACCTTATCGTTTTATCGTAGCGGTTCAAATCTATCCGGTTTTCGTTATTCGCCTCCTAGTGAACATTACAGGCATTCCGTGACAATAATAAATTCCTATTACAAATATAATGAATTATTTATATTGTTATATTGACCAAATAATAATTTATTGGCCAAATGAATAATAATAATTTATATTGTTCATTTAAATAATAATTAAAATTGTTAATTTAATTTGAATGTTTTAAATATGACACACGATAGGGGCGCCTCTAGTGTCCGTTATCAAACAGTTACGGGACAGACGGACAGTTGAATGGGTTATATATATAGATATAATTTTATGGCTGGTTTTTTATAGTACCTACAAATGCATAATAAATCAAACTTTTGATTCATGTTAAATGCTCTTACTCTATAATTCTAAAAGAAAATTTGTATGAAAATCTTAATGACAATTTATTATTTTCAAAATGCATTGTTTTTAGTGTATTTTTCAACATCGTAAAACAAACTAAAAGCATTTGTTAAATAAAATCTTTCAAAAGCTGGACACTTTAATCTACTCACCAAAAAACCTTTTATTCCAACCAGCATGATTTTAATTTTTTCATGTAAATTTGGACAAGCATCCTTGACCTAATTATAAGAAGACCTGAAACAGATTTATAATTACTGGTACTCTTGCTGGTTGGAATAAAAGGTTTGTTTGGTGAGTAGCATTTGTTAAATTTAATTGTTTCTATTACAGCACCTTCAATTTTATTGTTAGAAGTTTTTTCTTTTTTGAAGCTTTTACTTTAGAGAGAAAAAATTGAACAGAAAATTATTATTTTGGAAACCAAAATATTCAATACATTGTCTGTTCTTTAAATGCTAGTGATCATCTTCAAATTTTTCAGATTAAATATTTGTAAATCTTTCACATTTTTCAAATCATCTGTTGATTTGGAATAGTTAATGTTGTTATAAACAGACTTAGTTTTCATTGTTATTTTCTTGTTACTTTTTCATATGACAAAATATTTGGGATAAAGCAACAAAGTGAGTGGTAACAGTTATTCATAATGATCATTCAGATCTTGCATTATCCATTGTCCAATTTGAATCTTTAAATTGGTTATCTTGTTCATAAGATTTAAATAAATATAATAAACATTGATCAATTTTTTATTTCAAACTGAAAAACATATAAGTATAGTGACTACAGCTTATATTAATCAGATTACAAGAAAAGAATTTGGTTAAGATTATTCTTATTAGATTGTGTTTGCATTCTTTCTGCACCAATTCCCCATTTAATACAATTAATTTTACTGTTTAAGAAGAAAATTTAATAATAATAAATAATTGTAAATGCACTTGTTTTACTAGAAGTTAAGAAAAATGCAAACATATGTATATGATGATGATTGCTTTATAGAAAACATTTTAACATAAGACATTTAAATAATAGAAATTCAAGCATTAAGATATAGGTTCAAATTGTAAATTCAGGCTAACTTTAAAATAGTGTGAATCTATATCCACATTAATAACATATAAGACATCATCTGAGATTATCTGATTTTCCTTGAATAAATTGTTGTTTGATTATTACTAATCTTGTAAATAGTCATTATTGGAGTTATTATTAAATATTGGATTGTTGACTAACTTTGTAAATATTTCTTTTGTTGCACATGAAAGTCCGGGCTTGGCAAATTAACCACAAATCCACATAAAGTACCCATTAGGTTAACGGCATATTCTGGCACACAGTTTGTGTTGGCAATCGTTGTATCAGAAAAATTAAAAATAATAAGTACTTTACAACTGGCGCCTGAACAGGGACGATTAGTAATCAGGTAGTATAAGTGAACTCTCCCTATTTGCATTCACTATTTTAAATTTGTACAGTTCTCTCTATACACTCTTCTCGAACTGAAGTTAAATAATAATCAAACCGCGACAAAAAATCTTTAATATGCAGCTTTTTATTAACTTATCAAACATTTTTGGCCATTTAAATGACCTTCCTCGGGAATAAAAATCGAATTGCATATTAAAGGTTTTTGTTGAGGTTCTCTTTATAGTTTGTTCAAATTGCTAATATTAGACAATTGAATAGAACACAATAACTTGTCATAAAGTTGATATAGCATACTGTATTGCAGAATTTTAAAGAAAAGTGCAATGTTCTAAGCAAAAGAAAACAAGTTATCTTTTGTGAGAAAAGACAAAATATATGAGAGGCTCTTGTACATTGCTACTGCTTTTCTTATGACAGATATGTTTGGATGTATCAGAATGATAGTGTATCAAATATATCTAATTTTTGTTAAGCTTAAAATGAAAAGATGCTGATTTTTATTTTAAGCTTATGCTCTGAATTAGTGGTCTCAAACATGGCAAAGGTCTAGTCAAATATATGTATATCAAACATGGATCATATTCAATATTTGATAAACCAAAACATACTGTAATTTAAAAAAGACTCTAATAAAGGCCTTTTTTATTGTTGGGTTTTTATGACTTACATAAACAGTAGACATTTGAATTTTTTCTGTTTTAATCCCCACAAAATGTTAGAAATATTGATTTTAAGAAAAGAAATCATCCAGGTGACAGATACAGAGTCTTAACAGGTCATATCCAGCCTGCGGGATGCCAGTTTACAACCCTGCTCTAAATGTACTACTAATTTCTGTTTAACCCTACAAATCCATAAGAAAAGGTTATAAAATTGCATTTGAGAATTTTATGAAATTACTTTGATAAATGGGTGGTTTAAAAAATTCAACTGAAAAATGAAAATTGGAAATGATTTATTTAGATTTTCTATAAATAGAAAAAATAAAATGTTTGCTTGTAAAATTTTTAAATAAAACATTTGTTTTAATTTTCACACATATTCATATAATATATAAATTTAAATATCAAAACAGGGCGTGACCATACCAAGTCAGAGGAGGTACGTCAATTATTATGGTGAACTAGTCAGGAAGAATTTAGAGTACAAACCAATGAATGTTATTCTCAGGTCAGTCCAACTGGACATACCCACCTTTAATGGAGGAACATGTGAGTCTTATTTATTCATATATTATTATAAAGTTTCTATGTCTAATGAAAATTGATGCATTGCTTTTTTTTTAGAAAAGTTTTAAATTATCTTGGATTCTATATGATTATTACAATTGTTATACAGTAGTTTTAATTTAATAGTTTCAAAATCACTGTCATGACTTTTCTATTCATTTAATTTGACAAAATCATGATGAATGTGTAGTCTGGCAGAAAATTTACAGTTTTATTTATTCTGCAGGTCCGTTTTTTGTCGTGTACCAGTTTCAGTCGAAACTGTATCAATCGCCTGTGATAGAACTAAAGAAAGGTTCCAAATCTCTGAATTTCACAATTCCACAAGTATTATTAGTCATTGGTGATATAAAAGTTGAATTTTATAATAAACCAAAAATGATGAAAAAGGTAACTTTTTAATTTTATATTTTAATAATTTATATTGGAGCCACTATAAACTTTCTCAAAAACCTTCCCAAGGAATTTAACTTCCTTGTGAGTTAAATTCCTTGGAAATTCCTTTGGGGAAAATGTGGGATGATTCAAAAAATATTTTACAACTTTGAAAACACAGAATTTTAATTAAAAGACTTATACAATCAGTCAAGACATTAATTTATAGCAAAATACATTACATTTTACCTCAAACAGTCATTTTGTTTGATGTGAGTGCCATTAGTGATACAATAGACCCCTCATCTGAATTCAATTTCTTGTCAAACTCAAAGCAACATGTCTGCTGTTATCTCAGTAACTGTAACAATTATTTGAGTTTTGAGTTCAGTAGGATTTGCACACAAGGATGGAATAAACACTAGAACTTTAAACAAAAGTACACTTTTTATAATCATAAGTTGAAACAAATTTTTGTACCAATAAAACATTAATATACTGAATACTAATACAAAACCAGTGGATGAAATATATCTTTGAAGTGCATAATAAATGATAACAAGTAAAATGGCAAGGCCATTTTTGGGACAAGACTATGTCTCAGAGACTCGGCTTGACTACACACTATTTTCTGAGGAAAAGAGAAAAATGTGCATACTCCAATGAGGAAAAGCCAACACCTGTACTTGGGGTCCTAGCATAGATTATGGCGAGCTTTGTTGCTGCCATGGTTACGATGGGTTGCGTTGTCATGGGTCTGCTCTTGGCTACAGTAAGCTGGATCACTTCGACGCTCACTACGTGTCTTGTTCTCATTCTCCGGTCTTCTTTGGTATCACTGGTTTTGAGCGCAATTGTTCAAAGTTTGCTGGCCATGTCCACAAGGCATTTTTGGTAAAATTAATGGGTCAAAGGGATCCAAATGAGGTGTCAGCAACACACAAGAAAATCAAAATGACAAGATCAAGAGAATACACATGTAACGTGTGTCACACATTTGTCAAAATTCAATTTTGCAATGTTCGCATTTCGAATTTTCCAATGAGCAACACATGCACAAATCTCGCACTCGCACCTGTTTGTAGAAGCAGCGTCACCAGTTTGTATTTTATTTTGACCTGGTTCTTGGTTCCCTGATTGCCTACAAGTCTGGTTTTTTTATGTGTGCATGATTTGGGCATCAAATACTCTGTGCCAAATTGCAACTCCTGACATGTACTCCTTCATATATTGAAGGTGTCCAGCTGTTGATAGCAGTGTGATTTTATAGATGAGACATTGTCTCATCAAAAATAAACTATTTTTTATAAACAAAGGAGAAAATTTCACTTGGCAATAATATAAACAAACTGAGGATACACATGAATATCCTCAGGATATTGGACAAAGCAGTACAGGACACTCCAATGTATCTTTGGCACTGAACATGCTAATAAAACTTCAGAAGAAATAATCTAGAGATATCAAATCTGGGCCATATTATTGGTCCTGCTCAACCAATTCACTGACCTAAGAAATATTTGTTGAAGAAATCCTAGATATTTGCTTCTTAGAAGTTTCATGAAAGATCTGGTGTTTATTCCATCCTTGTCTACAAATCTCACTGAAACTCAAAACTCAAATCATTATCACAATTACTGAGGTGACAGAAGATATACTGCTTCCAGTTTGACAATAAATTGAAATTCAGGTGAGATGGTTACCATATCATCAATGGCACTCACATCAAATAAAATGAGTGATTTGGATAAAATTTGGTGTGTTTTGCTACAAATTAACATCTCAACTGATGTGTAAGTCTACTGATTAAAATTCTACATGCTTTTGAAGTTAAAATTTTTAGAATTGCCTAAATTTCGAATGCTGGTGATACAGAATTTTGTGGCCATGTGATTCAAGGAAGAATGCACAAGAGAAGCACAAGTGATAGCATGTAGGGATATCCAATACCAGTATCAGTATTGGATATCCTTACATACTATCACTTATGCTTCTCTTAAAGTATTAATACCAGCCAGTGTCAGCATCAGGTATCAAAACTGGATATCGATGTTTAGTCTGTTGCATCACCTTTCAGTTGTTTTTACTTCTGAGAAAGTAACTTACTGTACTCATTTTATAATGCAGGCTGTTGGGTCCCAGAACAGTAATTAATATTTTGTTGCTTACTCCAGGGTATTGAATCCCTGCTATTCAGAAGTCAGTGCATCAGTCAGTACTTCAATTTACACGCATATGATGTCTTATGTTCACAAAAGACTACCAGATTCTGCTATATAGCTGAATACTAGTACTCAGAGACCACAGTCTCTGATTGTCTTCAAAGAGCCAATGCTGATGGGTTCTTTGAATACTAGTATACATGGAATGGGGTAGATAAGAAATCATTGGTGAAGAGATAAAACAGTGTCTTATATGAGTTTAACTTAACCAAAAATAGTGTAAAATTCCATTTCAGTGTCTGATTTGGCTGCAAAATCTGGTTTCAGGTAGAACTTACCTGCATGTGAAAAATGTAATGATACCAGATTCAATATCCAAAGTAAAGTATTGATGTGTGTATTGGTATTGGACCAAAAGTATTGAGTTCAAAAAGTGCTTGGTATCAAAGAAAAGTATCAATATGGTATTGGCAGTATTGGGACATCCCTAATAGTATGCAGATGCATGAAGTCCAAAATATAGAATTTATTGGCAGGAAAAGTGTTGGTCTATGCTGTGATATGATTTTCCTCTAATAATACCAAAGTTCATGGTAAGCAGATTCAGAATTTGCTGAATAAGTTGTATTGGAAAGCATTAGATCATCATCTATATAGTTGAATTTGGCACCCAAAAATTTCCCCTCTTGAAGACTACTCTTTAGGACAAATTTCATTCATGATAGATCCCAAAAATGTGCCACCATAATATGATTGACACAAGGGAATGTGTACAGTTCATGCATCCGGAATGGAAAAACTTAGCATATCTTACAACAAGGAGATATTGTTGAAAAATAATATTAGTGACACTGTATTATCAGTTTATTCTATTATTGGTTTATGAATATTGAAAACTCACTTTATGAGTCACCCTTAAATGCTTGAATGGAACAAATACGAAGAAAGCAAAACAAATCACAAAAAATATAAATAAATCAACTACAGGTTGAACCTCTTAAATCTGGAATTCTGTGGACTGGCACATTTTGGATCTGCCACCACTACTTTGTTGATCTGTTATGCCTGCTCATTTAATTCAAATAAAATTAATTAAAGAAAAACCAAAGTATCAGAAGCAAGCTATATTGCAACAGTGATTGAAGAAGGTTGTTAATAACTCATTCCAATGATAAAAATTATTTTTCTGCATCTCATCTGTTTCTGATGCATGCATACCAAATGAGCATAGAAACCCTAATACCCTTGCATACCTTGAAAACTGTGTTGATCATGAAAACCTTGCTAACTTCTGATGTAATCTGAACTACAGAACTACAAGTATTTTTGGTTTTAGTCTTTATATTACATGAAACAATAAAACCTTGTTTGGAAGCAATAATGGTTGTGTTATTTCCTGAAGCTTGGTGCTGTCTTTGATAATACTGGAATAAGCATATTATTATGTGGATAGTTTCCATAGAGGTCTTGAGGTCATTTTCTGTAGTTGGCAATGACCAGATTCCAAGCTTGCTGGATTAAGGAGGTTCAATCTGTATCAAATATTGAAAAATGTTTAAAACTAACTGTTCTAACTGTATAACTTATACTGAAATATTAATCTGTATTGGAAGAAAGAAGAAGAAAATATAAAATTAATATTGCATATACACAGTTTCAAAACAATAATTCAATAAATAATCAGCATGTCATGTTGTAATTTTTGCCACAAGAAAATATAAACATACCATTGAATATTAAATAGAGTTATTTAAAATAGATGATATTGACTAGTGCTCAAGATAAAAATATATTGGGCTTTACATCACTAAAGAAAGTCTCTGCATATTTCTAAAAATTGCACAGGGTAAAGTTTAATGGGCACAAATCTTTATTCCAATTTATATTTATTGCATACTTATATTTTATTATTAATTTATGTTTTTTACTACTATATTTGTTTCTATTTTTGACGTAAAAAGTACTTAAAGATGGAAAATTATTATAAAAATACTTAAAAATTCATTTTGAAGCATTTCTGTATTTCTTCAATTTGTGCTCAAAGGAAGGTTAAACAATCCAACAATGTGTAAAAAGCAGAATTATATTAATAAATGATTCATTCTTTATTTGTTAGTTTTAAGACATTCTGAAAGTATCATCATGTCATATTTAGTTTGAAACATTGTATTCCTTTGTTTCTTTGAAAATTCTATAGAAGAGCTATTGAGCAGTATAAACTTTCCAATGAAAATTTCTATTCAATAATAAAAATTACTTGAATTTTAATGTACTAGGTTTATTAAAACAATTTTGTCTGTTTCTTACAGGAAAAAATGTTCCAATTGTGGTTCAACACGTTTTTTATTCCTCTGGAAAATAACAGCCAGGGAAACTATCCTGTGGAGAACTGGTACAGTGAGAAGACATCATCTACTGTAAATAGCTGGAATGAAGAGCGGAGCGAAGGCTACTTAGACCAAAGTAAAAAAGAAGACTTTTCGCTACCGAAGAGGTTACCATTAGAAATAGCCAATGACGGCAGGTGCGTTTTACCTGTTTGGATTTTGGTTCTTTAGTTTAACCCATGATCACATGTAACAGTGACAATTTTCCATACCTAATTTTTTAGGCATTTTTTTTTTTACCAAACTGATTTACTTAGCTTTGTTTTCCATCTGTATAAAATTTAGGGTAAAAATATTTTTCTACTTATCGTAAGACCTCAAAAACTTCTGTGGAAATTACCACCTTATGTGTGCAATTGTCTACGGTTTTTCTTTGTCACATGGTTGCCTGCATAAGGAAGAAATTTTCTACTGTGATATCATGATGATCTTACATAATTTCCAGAAGAGATAGTCATGATGTTAGCTATGCATGATGTAATGACATAGCAGTTCTGCAACTTGCTACAATATTGAATGTATGTCTCCATAAGATAGCCTAGAGCAGTGATTCCCAACCAGTAAGGTGCACTTCCTTTGGGAGGCGTGAGCAGATGTGCACAATTCTGTTCTATGTATGACTGAAGAGTGAGTGTATGTGGATAAAAATGGACAGAACAGAATCACTGGGAAGGATAATCAATGCACTAGCACTTTTTTATATCCCAATAAGAACAAATTTTAGTTAAAACTATGAGTAATGCAGAATCTGTAATCCAAAGTGAACCTAGCAATAGTAGCAGGATTACTATTGATGACCCAAGTATAGCCCCTGGTGAAGGAAAGAAAAAGTGCAGGCAATATGATGCAAGTTCAGATTTTGTTGTTTTCATAGCAAATCCAGCATTCAACAGCCTCAGTTTGTCATTTGTTTTCAAGTTCTCACCAATGACAGCCTTAGACCTGCAAAGCTTGAAAGACATCTGGAAATGGTGCATGAAGATTATGTACATAAAGATCATGAGGTTTTTTTTTTCTTTGAAAAGAAATGCCATCTCTTTTCAAAGAGATGGCATTGAAACAGCAGAAGACTGTAATGTCAAAAGATGCCACTGCATTACAGAAAGAATTGAAAGCTTCTTATGTAGCGGCTATGAAAATCACTAAATGTAAGAAATTGCACACTGTTGCCAATAATTTATTGCCTTCAGCAACTGTAGAAATGTGTTGCATTATGAATGGAGAGGCAGCTGTGAAGGCGTTACAAACTATTCCACTGTCAAACATTAGTTTTACAGCTTAATGTGGGGAATGACCAATGACCTGTGTGTGGAACTGAGAGTTGGAACCAAACATCGATCATTTGTGCAATTCACAACCTCAAATTTCATATTGATGTTTACAGTTTATGAAAATATGCTTAACATTTTTTTTTAATTTACATTATTATAACTTTATTCAGAAGGAATAAACTTCTATTTATACAGATATTACCCATTTCATTTGTAGATAAGTATATCTGTAGTTTTTAATAGTGCAATTGTATTTTTGCTTCATATTTTCAATCAAATATTACCAGTATCATTTCATTTGTGATAAAAGAAAATAAATACTGAATACAGAGCAATAAACACTTGTGCGCATGCAAGGGGTGGCACCATTGCATGTGATCTTCGATGGAGGAGGAATACTGTAGAAAAGGTTGGGAACTGCTCACCTAGAGTACTACAACCTTCAACAATTTAAATGTTTTCACAGCTTTATTTTGTACCTGAAAAATACAAAAATTATTTTCTGGTCCTTCTGAGTAACATCAGCCCTCCTGTCGTTTATTTCCAGTTGAATTAATTTCACATTGGCCCACACTATCAAGGAATTGTTCTGTAAACAAAAGAATATCTTGCAAAATATCAGCATAATACATTTTTTAGTTTACATATGCAGAGAAGACACAATACAGGATTTTTCAGAATTGTCAAATTCAAGGAAGAACGGTTATGTATGAAAAAATCAATGGAAAATCACAACCTTATGCTTGCAATTCTATAAAAAAAAATTGCATGTGATTGCAGATTAGCCAAAAGTGTGCAGAGACTGTGATTTAATGGATTAAAATGCATTTTCTATGTCATAATATCTATATTTATAAAGGAATATGCATTGGAAAAATATCACACATAGTCAGAATCAGATTTATCTATGACATATGATCTGTAGTCTTCCAATCATATGAGTATAACATCACCTGCCAGCAAATTAGAAGTGCTGCCATTATTTCTCTCTCACTTCAAGTTTTAATTGAAGATTTAAAGTACTTAAAGCACAACTTCTCGCAGAATCACTGGGAAGGATAATCAGCACATTAGAACCTTTTTATATCCCAATAAGAACATATTTCAGTTAAAACTAACGTTTTTGACCATAATCATGTGAACCCGTCAATGATGCATATCTAAACAGGTAACAGGTTCAAGTGAAACAATTCACACAAACTCCCTTGGCCTCACTGGATACTCCTAGGCTATTTGCATTTGCAAAGACACACAAACCGATACCTTCCCTGAGACCCATTCTAGATAAATCTAGGTCTAGTAGGTTGCTTGATGATGCGGTGCACGTTTATATCTTAAAGCTTAAAGGGGTATAATTGGAATGTCAAGAACTCCAATGAACTAATTGATATTTTACGGCAAGTTAAGCATGCAACAGATGTATCATGCATTACCGTCTTGGATTTTGTCTCCCTATACTCTGATTAAAATACAACCATGCTTCTGTGCACTCAGGGATCTGTTACTAAGCTGCAAAGGGGCGCGTATACAATGTCAACATATATTGGAGCTAATGCACCTCTTATGTTATACCTCATTCTTCCCTTTCAATAACAGTACATATTTACAAAAATGGGGTGTACCTATGGGCAGCCCCCTCTCAGGGGACTTGTGCGAATTGGTGGTTCGACAGTTGGAGGAAAAGGTCATACCTCTGTTCGTACCAAACATCCTAGTCTACAAAAGGTACATAGATGACATCTTCATTCTTTGAAAGGCTGAGCCCAATGTAAATGATTTCATAGGTTCCATGAACAACAACCCATATGGCCTTACCGTCAAGCTAGAGCAGAAGAGTGACACAAACGTGCATTTCCTAGATGTCGACATTTGCCTGGACGTGGGCAGAGTGCAAACCAGCATACATTACAAACCTTGCTACATACCAATATTTATTCTGTCAAACTTTGCTGACCCTTTTTCTTATAAGATCTCTGCATTCCGAGCTCTAACTAGAAGGGCATACATGCACCACACTAGATGGGAGGATACAGTGGCAGAATTGGAAATGCATTGAAAACATAGCAGTAAGGCACAGGTATGGTAGAAGCATGGTACATAACTTATTGCGCACATATGCCAAGCTGCTAACTGCGCGCCATACTCACAACACACAGGTAAAGCCCAATAACACCCATAATCACAGCATCAACGATTGGTTGATGCTGTGATTGTGATTGTGTAACACATGGTGGTGCAACACCCATAAAGACACAAAGATTGCCTATAAGAGATCTAGCACAGTATATGGACTATTGTGCAATGACAAAGACAGGACTGAGGAAAGTTGGGCCAGGTGTCTTTATGGTTCCTCTCAGAGACCACAGATTCCAGCATGATCTAGTATACATCGGATCCACAAATCGTTCACGAGAGCAACACTAGCACATTCTACACCATTAATTATGTCTTTTATTTATTTGTGATGATTGTAAGGATATTTTTATCACTGTTGTAGCATATACAGCTAAAAATTATTTTCTAACATTTAAATTTTTAAAATAATTTTAAACATGTTGTTCGATGCATTCCATATTCTAATTGTACTGGTCAAAAACATTAGTTTTAACTAAAATTTGTTCTTACTCGGATATAAAAAGGTTCTAGTGTGTTGATTTAAAGCACATTTTAAGTTATAAGTTCCTCATAATATGCAAATATTTTGAGAGTAGTTACATACATATTAAATATTTTCCTAATTATTTTTGTGTTTATAGTCCTTTTAAAGTGATTTCTATTCCAGACAATAATAATGATGGCATAACCAGTTCCATTATAGTGCAAACACATTTGCTTTTTAAAATTTTCTTTCTTAATTTTTTAAGATAGTTTTTTAATTAAAATTTTTACATTCCATAATTTTTTTCCTCATTTATCCACCTTGTGCATAGCCAACCAACACAATTAATTTCAAATTATAAACAGAGGCTGTCCCTAAATTACATAACACTGATATGGTTAGGTGGATATGCAGATAATTGTTAAAATGCTCTACGGGGTGTGGATGTTTACAAAAATGTTACGTACTGCTAAGATTTCAGTCCTTTGGTAACAGAATGAATCATTTTTGTTTCTGTAGAGTTGCATAGCAAACTGTACTGGTTATATCATTGCTTTGTTCATAATAAAATACATGGTGTACAGTACTCATGGCATGTATTACTCCTTATTACAAAGGTCAGTCAATAAGAAATGCACAATTGCTTATAACTCCTCAGTTTCAAAGGTTGAATCATGAGAGTTGATGGATAGCAGCCTTGGACTTTGGCTTCAGAGAGCATCATTCTAGGTAAGATCTATTGGCTTCACTACATTGCAGCCAACATTGTTTCCATGACATGAATGCATGTTGGTAAAACTTTGGAGGTTGTCCATCAAAACACTGAATTCTGCATCACTCTGAAATACATGTGCCCTAAGACAACCAAACAGATAAAACTCTGATACTGGTTGTGGCACCAGTGTCCAGTCTAGCTGTGTCACTTTCTGCACTGTCATCTGTGCAAATGCGGTCTTGTGTTATCATGCTGCAGTTTGATGTTGGCTTGTAATTGTGATCTTTTAGTTCTGACGCCACACCTCAGCTTCTCCAATGATTCATAATAACACTCTTTGTTAATAGTGGTCCCACTTTCCAGGAACTCAAGGAAGATGATGCCCTGATGATCCCCAAAAAAATGTGGCCATCAATTAAACAACTGTTAATGCTTGTTTGGAAGCTAATAGAATAAGTGTGCTAAATTCCAAATTTCATGCTACAGACATTACAAATGGCAATGTTATTGGGATTGTGAATTAGTTTTTTACTGACCTTTGTACAATTAAGGGGTGGTGGTCTTATAGCATGCGTGCCCAAGCTGGCACTTTAGAAGACATCATCTAGCACATAACATATCTTACAATTTTGGTTTTCACCTGTCTTTTTCAATCAACTTCTTTACATTTATTTTAATTGAAACATATTCATTTCATTTATTTAAATATCATTATTCAAAGTCTAAAACTTTGGCATGTATAAACATTTTATTTTTACTAATTTTAGTACAGAAGCATTAAATTTACTAAAGTCAACTCTCTTAATACGAACGCCAATAAAGCAAATTCTTGCATTAAAACAAATTTTGCCATTGCCCTGACAAAATGCTGTTGTTACAACAATAATTTTCATGCAATACAACAAACAAAAATTTTACTGCAATTTGTTAAACTGAACTGTAAATTACCTTCACAGTCTTCAAGAAATAACCCTATTTTCAATAATGATTTTATTATTCACATTGAAAAGTGTAAAAAGCAAAGTGGTACTGTAATAAATGTTCCATTTTGAGTTAGAACCTGAAATTGTTAATATGAATTTTTGATAAAATGAACTAACTATTGTTCCCCTAGTGATTCTTATTAATTATTAATGCATATTATTAAGTATAGTTTTGTTGATCAATTTTAATACATTTTTCTTTTCAAAGGAATAATTCCGAACAAAACAGAAGGTTGTGTTTAACGTTTCCAAAGGAGGAACTAGATAAGTCACCGAAGTACAAAGGCCAGAAATTAGATTTCAAAGTAAGTTTTTAAAATTATTTTTGATTATTGTCATGTTTTTTCCATGTAAAGTTTTGCTGCAATATGTACTGTACCTATTGTCTATCTGCACTTGCAGTAGTTTTGAAGAAATTGTTTTTTGATGTGGACCACATTTGTTATTTTTTTATGTTGATTAGAATTTTTTACAAACAACTTAAATAAAATTTGTCTACTGTACTACAATCTTTGATACATTCTATAAGTAATATAATATCTATCCATATCAATATCCACATAAATATACAATATCATTATTGTTATTTATCAGGAATTCAAATTTATTCTTGTTGTACCCTCTGAAAAGATGTTACCACAAGAATAAATTTGAATTCCTGATAAATAACAATAATGCAGCTGATGCACTCCTTTCCCTGTCATGAGCATTTCTCAGATTAGTTCCCATCCTGTCCTTGATGTTATTCCTCCATATCTTCCTGGATCTTCCTCTTGGCTATGTTTCCTCTATCACCATCTTCATTTAATGAAGATGGTGATAGAGGATCTTCAAGCCAATAAAATTTATTGGCTTGAAGATCCTCTTGCCAAATGCCCAGCAAATGCAGATTTTCTTTATTTAATGGTGGTCATTAATTGTTTTCCAACATAAAATCTCTTAAATGCTTAATTTGTGATCTTCTGTCTTGCTAAACCTGTCCATCTTCTTAGGCACCACATTTATACTGAGTTTATTCTGTCTTCCATTTCTTTTGTGACAGGCCAAGACTCATATCCATAAGTCATCATGCTCCATATCTTAAGAATTTTTAGTTTGAGACTTCTGTTTAGGCTTCTATTTGTTGATATGTGAGAAATTGGGAGAAAGTTGATTTTGCTTTGCATATTTGACTTTTAATTTCAAGATTGCATCTATATTCAGTAATCCAGCTTCTGAGATATTCAAAAATCTTCATTCTTAACACTGTGGAATCCAGAGTGGTTTGTTGCTCAACTTCAGCATTTGTATCCCTTGAAATCCTCATTACTTTTTTTTGGTGGCACTCAATAAAACTATATCATCAGTGTTTCTTATGTTGTTAATTATGAATTCATTAATTATTACTAAATCATCATCATCATCATCTGTAGTACCTCTCTCATCATCCATTTGCTATTTAGGTTAAATAGTATTGGTGATAGACCATACATATCCTTGTCTTACTCCTTTCATCACCGAATTCATTCAAATTCCTCTCTCTATATCCTAACTATTGCTCTCTGAAATTCGTATATTTGGTCAATAATTATTAATTGTCTATCTATTCCTATGTTGCCTAATATTTTAAATATCTTGTAGTTGACATTATTGAATGCTTTTTCATAGTTGATAAAGCATAATTCTTTTTAATAATTTTTTACCTATCAGTCTTAGTAACGTTATTGTTTCTCTAGCTCCACTATTTTGAATTGTGTATTGCATATCTTCATGTTTATAATTTCTTCTATGAATGATATTTATCAGCACTTTGAAGATATGACTTATTAAGCTTATTATTTTGTATTTGTCACATTGTATTGTCCCTGCTATATTTGGTATTGGTTGAAAATAGAACTTGCCCAGTCAACAGATATATTTTTCCCTCCTAGAATTTTATTGAAGAGAGTCTTTAAAATGCTTTTGTCTTTTGTTCCTTTTGATGTAAACAGTTCTTGTATCCCATCAATTTGTGGAGATTTCCTATCTCTTTCTCTTTAGAGATGCTTCAATCTCTGCCTCTAGAAATTCCAGGACTTCCCTTTCTATGTTCTCTTTGAAATCACATTTAGCTCTGTCGTCTCTTACATATAGTTATGTTACATAGTTACTCCACCTTCTTGTTTGTTTTTTCAAGTATCATATTTCCCCATTTTGGGCTGCAATTTGAAAAAATTGTAGACCTATAAATTCCCAGTGTTGTCCATCTGACTATCTTTTCTTAATTTTGATAATGGTGCTAGATAAATGAAATTCAAGATTCAGATATGGAAAGATTACAGGCAGGAGGTCCTGATTGATTATATCTGAACATCTGATGCAAACCAGAAGTCATGTTTTTTCAATTCCAAGTGTTTTCCCCGAAAGGAGTTAGATAGATGACTGGCACAACTCCATTGCTAATGGAAAAGTATGATGTACAGGGACAAGACACTACAATAGTAATTTGAGATGGAGAGCACATATTTTAAATTAAATAATTTAAAAATATGATAAAAAATTGCAGTCCAGCATTGTGACAATTCACAATAAATAATTGCTCATTATCTTTTATAGTATTGATTCTCTTATCAGATTATGTTTTCATATACTTTCCTTAAATCTTTAGATTGAGTATAGGCTTTTTATTTCATTGTAGAGTTGATTTAGCCAATCTTTCTTGTCTTTCCTGGCCAAGTTTGCATCTTTTGCTCTGTTTGATAGTAGGCTTCTTTTATATCTTTGTCTGTGTGTTCTATAGTAGGTAGGTAGATTTGGATTGAAAAGAAATCTCTTGGTTTGGCTTTCAATTTCATAGCAAAACTCTTTCTGCCACTGTCCACAAAATCTACCATTTCTGCAGTACAATTATTCGGTATTATACTTACTTCTCTTTGGTTTTCTTTTCCAGCTGAGTAGATGAATCTGTATTGATTTTCTGTTCTCATGTCTCCTTCCACATTCATCTTACCTCTAAGACTCCCAAGATTAAAATATTAAAATTTTTATTTCATTGATTACATTGGTTAATTTCTCTGTTAGTGAAGGATTTCACATTCCAACTGTCAACTGTTCTTCTTTCTCCTTCCCTTAAGGACTATTTTGCTATGGGACTTCCATTCATCTGATTCAGGACTTCCAGATTGCTTTGATTCTGATGCTTTGTATGAAACTTTGGTTTTCAAAAGTTTCAGCCTTGCTCCACAGCATCTCCCTTGTATTCCACTACACAAGGACAGACCCAGGAGTCTCATCTATGCTTGTGCATATCTTTTCTCTGCTTTGATTTTGGTTCATCAAATCTTGAAAAAAGTCAGTTAAACATAATGGTTTTCTGCTGTCTTCTATATTGAGAGGACAGACATTTACTGTTATCCTACTGTTCTAATTATACTGCCATGGCTTGATTATCAGAGCCCTGTTTGTATAAATAGACTGCACCATCAGAAAGATAGGGTTAACAGTTGACTAAGAGATGATGTAGGTTACACATCTCTAGCCCATTAGCAGTCTAATCCAAGTTCATTTTCATTTTGTTTATATTGCACCTAAACATTATTAATTTACTGAACATTAGCATTTTCATTAGCATTTTTTTATTTGTCAGATGATGTTTTCTAACATGTTTTTTCATGATTAATTTAATTTTTAATTAATTGAATTAATTTGAATTTTAAAATTAGTTTAGCATTAATCTTATCCATAATGAACTAAATGTATTAAATTAACATAGATTAGAATTGAGATTGAACCACGTCTCATATAATATCATGAGATTGCAAATTCAAATTATGGTTCTGCATGTTCCATTCAGTGGTGTTTAAAGTATCGGAGCGCCACTTTCTAACTCACATTTAGTTAGACAGTTTCTTTTTTCTACTTTTTTATCATCAATATATTTTAGACTTAAATCAAAATTGAAATTATTGTTAAATTAATATTAAAAAGCTATTAAATAAATTCCCAAATAGGGTTCACAATGTATTCTTATGCTGTGGCTTTTCTTGTCTGTTGATCAGTAACAAATCGGTGAGATTGAAACTGTACTTTGCACAATACAGTAAACGCGATAACTCGAAGTGGAAGGAACAAACAAAAAATTTTTAAGTTAACTAAAATTTCAAGAAAACTACTGTTATTTTGATTAGATCATAAATATTACAATGAAACAATGTGATGACTGTATGATCGAATGGTTCAGGTGTCAGCTTACCGACATCGGCCCTCAAAATGGTAAACGCCGGAGGACCAGAGAACGAATCCGGTCGAGTAAAAAATATCCCATAACTTTTTCTGAGGGTGGTCTGTTCGGATATGTCGGGTCCCGTCTCTCACCACCCGGTTGCCCCATTGTAGGCCTGGCCGAACCCACAATGAGCTTGGAGAAATAGGCCATCTTAGTGCTCACAGGGCGGAAAGAGTTAAAAAAAAAAAAAAAAAAAAAGAGAGGGTGGTCCGTCTTTCATTACCTGCACCATTTGGACCTGGCCGAACCCATTACTCTGGGTAACTTCATTTCATGCTTTGTAATAATTTTCTGATTCACTCCAACTTCAATAACACGCATCTTTCGTACGGTAATATTTTGGTATCGTAATTTTAAGATTTGAATTATTCCTTGATTTAAACGTTGCAATTTATTTAGTGGTAAAAATTTACCTATTGTAGCTTTCGGAGTGCGAATCATGTAATATGCACATTTCACTGAAATTATCGATGAAAATAATCTTGTTTACGGAAATCATGAAGATATTTAATCTTTTCAGAACTTTTTCTAACTGTCGGAAGTCATCCATGCTTTCTTAGGCTACGGTTACTATGGATACGAATTCTGACGAAATTTTGTTCTGACGAATTCGTCCGAAGAAACAAATACGTTTTCCAATGAGAGTGTTTACTTTGGCAGCGAAGGGCATGTCAGAACATGCACGAAGTAGTCAGAACCATTCCTGCGTTCAAACGAATTTAATTTTTTCGTGCGTTCTGACGTTGAATTTCGAGTGTTTTGGATTTTTCAACATGGATATTGAGAAATTGATTAGTCTTGTGTTCGAGAATAGGTGTTTGTGGGACATGAAAGACAAAAACTATCACAACAGAGATATTTCTCATTTTGGTCTCATTCTGAAATACTCGAAAAACTTTTATGGATTGTCCCACAATATAACATTTGATATAACATTTGATATAACATTTGGAACCTCTCCCTTATCGTCTCTTGCGGAAAATAAGTGGTTAACATGCTCTGTTTTCCCACCACCTATCAACAATAACTTAATCAACGGGCTTTCAAGAAAAATAAAACTCATCAAATTCGTCCATTTTGCTGGGAGGCAGAAACGTACTGACTATCAGAAAACGTGCATAGTGTAACCACCTTGTTCTGACGAGGATTTCGGACATACTCGTCTGAACTAAATTTCATCAGAATTCGCATCCATAGTAACCGTAGCCTTATTTGCTTCATATTATATAGTTAAAGATCGTGGAGTTAGCATTGTGGAAACATGGACGTTTTTAAAGAGTTTTTAATGAATAAGAAATTTTCCATTAACAAGAATATTTTCNCAAATATGTATTCAAATTTGGCCGAACTCTCAATTTCTCTTTTAGTATTTTGAAATACTCAAAATCTTTGTTTTTCTTATCAGAATGGATTCTTTCCAAGTGGTCTTTCATTTGTGCCAGCTTCATAGCATCATTGCTGAAAGTTTTTTCATATAATAAGCACATAGAAATAGTTTCATTAGCAAACGATGGCACAAAACCATATTTCAAATATTCCTGTGAATATTGTATGCATTTCTTCTTAGCAATGGTAGCCAACATTGTGGGTATTAAAATCAGATTTTTAATATGAAAAACACAATACGTTTGCAGCACAACAAAACAGCAGCAGTAAGAGAGACAACTTACTCCCGCATGAGCTATAAAGAACTGCCTGTTTATTCCCAGAGTGCAGTGTTGCCACCTTTTGCTAACAATAGATATTTAGAATTGGAAAGAATTATTCTAAACTATTAAACTAAAGATATTAATAAATGTATGTGATTTTTTTCATATGAACATAATGTTAATTTGATTTTTGGTGAATTTTTTAAATAATATCGCCTGACTGACCTATATTGCCATTGGACAGTTTACAAAAAAGTTAAAAAATAATTTTGTAGAATAATAAAAAATATCAATAAATATTGGCAAAAATAAATAAACAATAATACAGAACAAACAAATAAGTACAGTTAAATCAAATTTTGACCATACAAATAATTTTGGGTCAGTACAAAATAATCCAGCTAGAGACAGATGGTTAACAACTTAAAAACCGACAAAATGACATTAAAAAATACATACAATATACAATTGACGCTGACCTTTTCATGGAGGATCCGACATCAATGACACAGCATTAAAAATTCTTCACACTCTCACTCTGGTACAAATCAGTTGTATTTATACACATCACAGACCTCTGGTGGAAAACTAGGAGAACATTGTAATTAGCATATATACATGAATAACAAAGTTCCAAGGATAAATTTTTTTTATTAAATATGTACAGTTCTTTAAATATCACTCCATCCTTATGATTTAAATTCAGCCAGATTGATACAATGATAAACGTGATAAACTGAACTGATTTAAAAAACTGGTTTTCTCAGGATGTGTTTGGACTTCTTACCTACTATTGACTTGGGACACCTAACTTTAACTAAGTTAACTTGTGTGTGAAAAACTAGAGAGAGTCTCTTGATTACTATTTTAAAAGCACTAGCATTTGTCTGAATCTGGCTTAAACCCTTTTCATTTGGAGACTTTGGCAATATTTTTATAATTATGCAACTGACCAACCTGCCATTCCTATATTGTTTTTGCCCATGAGCTTTAATTCAGTACTTTTGCAATGTCTGCATTGAAGACAAATAATGCTCTTGAATACAATAAATGAAAAAACTTGTGTAAATTAACTCAAATGGTTGTTTTATAAAACCTGATAGATTACTTTTGCACTGTGTGATTAACAGTAGATTACATCAAGTCCTGTAAAATTTTAATGCTTTTCATTAATTGAATTTTTTAATATGTTTTAGGAAAAGGTGAGATTTTGCTGCAGGAAAACATAATTTGGTTGCTAAAAAATTAATGAATTTAAAACTAAGTTCTTAGTAACTACAGTAGATCATCTATTATCCGACTCAATGGGGGACTCAGGTTGGTCGGATAACCGAAAAGAATGAAAAAAATATATTATTAGTATAGTATATTAGTATATCCCTTGTAAATAGTATATTACTATATTGCTATTAACGAACTTCATATTGAATTTTCATTGTTGTTAAGCCTAACAAATTTTTTTTAAAATAATAATTGTCGCTATTGTATCGTTAAAAATTATTTTAAAATTATTTTGTTGCCCACAAAACAAACAGCCATTCATAATTAGAAAATTAAGTCTCGTTTAAATACTGGCCTTTCTTCAATGGTCGAGTCGTGCTGCCAGCTAAAACGTGCAAAAATTTAAGAAAAATAATATTAAAGTAGCCAAGACATAGCCAAATATTGTAGCACCACATCCCTAGCGGACATTTGAAATTTGCGGACTAGAACAGTCGGTTAACCGATGTGACAGTTAATCGGAGGTCGGATAATCAATGCTCTACTGTAATTGGGTATCAATTCTCTGGTGAACATTTTAGAATCTAAAGACATGTTTCTCATAGAATGATAAATTATGATTTCTGTTTTGGCAGGTTCAACTGTTCTTCAGCGAAGTTTCGGAACTTTCCAACGATTCTTCGTGTCCGAGCCACGAGAGTCTGACTCCCAGTCTCAGTGCCAGCGACACAGCCAGTAGTCATGGCGAAGTCGGCAGTGACAATGACCCGCTGGATGACCTGGACACGGAATCCGAAGAGGACGAGTGGGAAGGTTGTGAGGCCGTAAACGTTTGATCATTACTTAAGTGCGTGTCGAGCTAATTCTGCATAGCAATTAAGATGTGTACATACTTCCGGTCGAATTCCATTATGTTGCGAGTAGTGGAAAAAATTCTGTTGTAAATAATATTTCTGCATGACCGAAGCTGGCCCCGCCGTCGGACGGTCCGGCCAAAAGTACAAAATTAGCTTTAGTTGTGCAAAAGTTCGTAAGTCCTTATCTGGATATAGTACAATCTTTTGCTAATTATCGATGTTTGTGAAAGTTTAATTAATTGTGTTTATATGCCTTTACTAAATTGAAAGTTGTTTTTTTTTTGCCATTTTAACCCTTGAACTTTTGTGTCATTCTTTTTTTATTAGTATGTTTGTCTTCCAAATTTTGTACAGTAAATGGTTTATTTATGTACATAATAATAATAATTAATCATATTTTCTTTTTTTCATAATTTTATTCTGTAATTTCCTTTAAGAATGATTAATATATTTTATATTTCTAATTGATATAATAATTCAAGGGTTAAAAACATTAATTTCAGAAGCTTACTAAAACACCAAATTATTATTATTATTATTATTATAAGACAGATTAGCTTTCCCTAACTTTCAGTCTTTACAAATTACTAACAACTATACAGAGATGAATTTCAATTTCATAAAGTATGAAGCTATGAGTGCTATAATTTCTCTTTACCAGTCATACTGGTGCAATAACATCTGTTAGGCGAAGACATTCGAGAGAGACAGATTGCTGCTGTTAATTTTTCCTTTAATCCCAAATGAAAAATTTGGAGTTTTATAATTGATTTTAAACAGACCGTGTTGACAATTTTCTACGTAATTTTTAAACAAGTCGCGGATGAGAAGTTATTATTTTACGTGAAATTAAACCGTAATGTAAGGAAATAGTGGTTATTTAAAAAAAGAGTACAAATTTTTCTTAAAATTAAAATGGGGGTTTAATAAAACTGTAAAAAAATTTATCATGTTTCGCTATCCATTTTTGCATGTCGCACCTCAACGAATCTAAACAGTTTGCTTGTAAAAAATGCATGCTAAATTTTTATGAAGTACTGTACAAATTTTTCTGTAAGATATTATTTTCTTAATTTAAACAGAGCACGGGTGCATAGTCGCATTCTCTCTATCTCGTCGGCGGGTGGGCACCCGCCGTGTTCCGACTTGCCAAAAATAAAAGCACATATTGTCTTGCGTTTCTCTAAATGATACTTCGTCATTGTATTTACTGTACAAATGCCTCTAAAGCAAAATTATATAAAAAATTTTGTCATTGTACAGCTAAAAGTTTGTATCAATATATTTGATAATTTGATTAATGTGTACATAATCTGTCACTGTGATTAACGACCCTTCACGGCACAATAAACGTCCTGTAATGAAATTTCGACTACCCCACAGGGGCACATTTTCAATAAATAAATAAATAAAAAAACAGATTTTTAGACAAGTATAACTTTTTTGATTTGGCATTTATATGCCAGTTTTCTTTATAAAAAAAATTCCTAAATATTTTAAAAAAATTATAAAGGCATTTAATGTGTACACTCTTAAATACATAAACAATTTAATGTTAATCTTTCAACTGTCATCATTCTGTATGCTTTCTTATGTACTAACTTTACTTTCCAATTAACAGTAGCATTTATTTTTATCAAACTTTTCAACATCAATATCTTTTGGCAGATTCAAACCCCTGTTTTTGTGAACAAAATAAGATACAATAAAATTTGACAAAAAAAATCATTTCCAAAACTACTACTGGCATGACAATTATGTAAGATATGTTGAAAAGAATGATGAAATGTATTCTATTCTTCAGAAAGCATATTTTAAAAGCCATGTTTAAGATTAATAATGTAGTAAATTCTGTGCTATTTTTATATTCTGCTTTACACTTCAATGTATTTGAAAATATCTGTCCCGTCTGCGTGTTTTTAATTGTGATGCCTAGTGCCGTCTCTGTTGCGTTCCTGTCTGCGGTAGCCATCTGGCCAGAGATGATGCCGATAGGGGAATGGAAGCGGGCAGTAGTGGAACGGCCTCCATCTGACAGAGAGCGGCAGAGACGGCACCCGGCACCACCGGGAAAGACTATAATATCAACGTAATTCGCCATTAAACTGATACAGCCATCTTCCACATCTTGACTGTTGCAGGAGAGTCGACGTACTTATGACGACCATTCCCGTGACTAGTTGTGTGCATGCGCAAGAGAGCATCAATTCCTCCTCCACCCCATCCTATCCTGTACCATTACTGCTGGACCCGTATGTACATATGTCCTCCCTACGAGTTACTTGTACAGTTAATGAGGCTATTGTTTCGTGAGGATAACAGTTTTTGTTTTTGTGTAATTACTGAAGTAGCATTGTTTAATAGTGTCTTATCTTTCCTACATTTTTTTATGTTTTGTCTACTTGGCCATCCTCATTCATAAGTCCACTAGCACAATAAAAACGTTTTTCTATCATTGTTGTCTTGTTGTTTTTTCTCACAAACTACACAGACATTGCAAATTCACCTATAACTTCTTGTAATATTTGATTTGCTAGAATAATAGAAATGATTAGGATGTATTTGCACGTTTCTTTAGAAAAACAAGCATTATTTAGTATTATTTATCGTTTACACATCTAATGTATCAAGATATACATGTACATAATTATAACTGTGTAATTTGCAAACTTCTTTTTTGGCTGCTGTTGGTTGCTCCATTCACTTGTCTAATTTTGTGTTGTTCTGTGCATCTTGTCTACTTTGTAAGTCAATTGTCTTCTGTCTTAATGCACAGTGCATTGTGTTATTGTTATATTTAAAATTAAAACATTTTAGAATATGCTTAAAATTAATATAATTAATATGTTTTATATAAAATTGTAATAGAGAATAGTTCTGGGAAGAACTCTAATCTATTTTTTAATTGAATTTTTACAATACACATCTTTCAAATAGTAATAATACTTTTTATATTATTAAATGATGCACATTTAAATGAGAAGAGAAAGAATTTACAAATCATTGCAATGGGAATGAAGATGCCAATCAAAATTGATTTCCAGCTTACTATATATAACTGGTTGTAGTTTTATAGTAAAATTAAATGCACAGTTACTATTTTACAAAGGTACCAATCCAGCATAAGCAATATTTTCAACAAAACCTTTGTGTAACAATTACTTGTGATTTACCAGCTATTCATTGTCTTACTATTAATTTGCTGCTCTATAAGCAAATAAGATATAACTTTTAATTTTTTACATTAATATTTCTTAAAAGGTAATGCATGAAAATAACCCTAAAAATTTGTTATATATAAATAGCTAGAAACTACAAAAAGAATATGAAAATTCTTAAATCTGCATTTGTATGAAATGTTTGCAAAAAATAACCAAAAATCTTTTTATATTCTCTAATTTAGAAGATTAAAATCATATTGACAAGTTAGGTCAGTATTTTCCAAACACCTACAGTATTTCAAATTTTCAAGAAAAACACAATACTCCAGGCTACAGCAGTTGATGACATTGCAATCTGTTCAAACCACTAAATGTATTGAATATCTCTGCAGAGGTACTATATATAACTGGATGTAGTTTTATAGTAAGAATAAGTGCACAGTTACTATTGTACAAAAGTACTAATCCATATTGTAGTTATATATATACTATATATAGTATAATAGTAATTTGAATGTATAGTACTGTATTGTACATATAACAATATGTGCAGGTACTATACATTCAAAAACGCAGAGGAAAGTTTGTCTTCAGAAAAAGTTGTTACTGTGGAGGAGAAAAATGAACAAAAATTGCAATCAAGCAAAGATTGAAAGCAATTCCTCTATTGCAGAAGTTTAAGTCTAATGAAATTGATTTGACTCAACCTAGACACTCTGGATAACTTATTTTTCAAGCCACTCGCTTTGTGTTAAATATACCTTCCGAAAGATATGGAGATGTTTGCAAGGACCTAGGATGGTTTGTTTCGTTCAATCCTAAGATCTTGTACAAACTGGTGTCTACAGAAGAAAGTCTTATCGAGACACCTCAGTAAGATTTTCTTCTGTAGGCATGAAATTAAAAATGAAGTTTGGCAGCATGGTATAAACTGTGCTAAAGTTCAACAAAACCTAACTCCATTTATGACAACTCAGATTTGCGCAAATACAACTTTACGTGGTAGCTATCAAAATCTCAGATTCGCATAGATAAGACAATACGACAACAGACGATCGCGTCCCTTCCGATTAAGGGGTGTTTGAAGCCGTATAGTGCCTAGCAGCAAATGTATCTCATTAGTAATAATGTATTATTATTATTTTTCTTTCAAGTTTTTCAAATGACTACTAAGTTGTTAGGACAAATTATAATAATTACGTTTACTTAGATTGGGTTGATTTGAGAACCCGAAATTCCAAAGGCAACGTGAATGAACCAAGCAAGTTTTGGAAACATTGGATTAGGTAAATCTTGCAGTGCTCATTTTTTAACTCTGCTCTGTGGGCACTAAGAGGCCTATTATGGGTTGGGCCAGGCCCACAATTGGGCGGCCGGATGGCGAGAGATGAGGCCCGACATTCGGACGGACCACCCACCTTGCGGAAGGCAAACCTGACGACCACCCTCCTCTCTTGTCAGGAGCTTCCTGAACGACTGCTTAGTAGAGTACCAGACAAGTGCGAGGTTTGTCAGATCATGCACGACCTGACCCCTCTGGAACGTTCTTGTAGACACTGCATTGAGGCTTGTCTTCAGAGCCGGCCCTACCATAGGGCGAACGGAGCAGCCGCTCCAGGCGCTAAATCCCGGTGGGCACCTCAATGGTAAAGAAAATTAAAGGGTATAAATTAGGGGCGCCATAAAAGGATCTCGCTCCATCTTAAAACTTGCCTCGGGCCGGCACTGCTTGTCCTCCAAATGTCCAGCTGCAGGCATAAGTAGACATGAAATGGCGATTCGCGGCAACGAAGCAATAGAACAAGTCATTCGCTGGGGAGAGCTGCATAAGCTATCCTCCAGCCCTGAGAAATCAGAGGCCCGGGCAGGAGTGTTGGCGTGCCGACCAATAAACTCCACGTTTCTTTATGCAGCGCTTTACAGCGAACATACTGAAACTGGTTTCTAATTGGCCAACACTGCTCGTGACGTCATTTCGCTACACGCTGCATAAAGAAACGCGGGGATACTGAAGGGTGAACGAGTAAATACCTGTTTTATCATCGACCAGACTTTATGCTGGATGCCCCATCTGAGGAGTGTTCGAGAAAGAACAAACCTCACGATAGCGGCACTATCGAGACTAGCTAGACAGGACTATGGTTTTAGCGGTGAAGCGATCTGGGCCATCTATAAGATGAGCTTGAAGCGTGTGATCTGCTATGCCTGTGGTATTTGGTGGAGGAATCCATCAACGTCAAACAGAGTAGGACGCTGCTAACGATTCCGAGGCCCGCCGCCCTTCGGATAACGAAAACATACAGAACTGTGTCTACGGAAGTGGTTCTGGTCTTGGCCGGGCTGCTATCATTGCCGCTGGTGGTCAATGAACAGGCAGTCTTCTACAGGACAACAATAGAAGATTTAGAAGTGAAGCATTGTAATCATATGTACAGTACCAAGTCATCAAACTTTGATATCAGTCGGACATACTGAGAGTCCACCCTGTATATAGGAAAGGACTAGATTGGGATGTCGGTGAACCTACAAACAGTGGTGTTGAAATATGCACAGATGGCTCTAAAGACGGTAGCTTAGTAGGTGCCACGTACTGCGTCTTTAATGACAGAGTTCAGGTATACAGTCAGTCAATCAGACTGAATATAACACCCGTGTCACAGTTTACTCTGACAGCCAGTCGTTGCTTCAGGCTCTGAGCGACGGGTATCACAAGTATAAGTTGTTATAGGAGGTCAGGGGTAAGGTACCGAGGGCGAGGCACGCACGACACGTTGATCTGAGGTGGTTCCGAGGCCAGATCGGGATTAAGAGCTGGCCTCACATTAGTAGAGTACTCTAAGTGCAATACACGCTGCACACAACTGTATGGCATTGTAAAAGGGTTGAACTTCAGAGCGAGGAAGGTTGGTCCCAATTGGGTTGTATCGCCAGAGCCAGAGCACTTAACACCTCAGTGATTACTGGGTGGTAGACCAGACCTATGACTAAAATACAATCTGTTTTGTACTCTGTAGTGCCATTTGGCGAAGCAGAGACAATTTACTTAGAGTTGTTAATATGAGGTCGAGGACCACCTGCCGGGACCATTTCTGGGGATTTTTCGACCCCGTATCCCCAGAGCGGTAGGCTGCCACCTTGATCGCTCGGCCATTCTTGCAGTGCTCTATATTATAAACAAACTATAAGGAATCAAATTGGAGTTTTTGAAATTAAGTCAGAAAAAAATACGTGTTGTCAGACAGATTTTATTTACATAATTATGATGTGTGATTCAAAGGAATTTCTGTATTCGGTGAAAATGAAGAAATAAAGAAAATATTTTTTTTAAGTGAAATAAACTTATAAAATTTCAAAGTGAATTTTAAGGTAATAATCGTATATAAATGGATATTAGTATATATTACACCTGATTGAATTTATTAGTCTACAAAAGCAATTCTACAACCGTTTTAGATACGTCACCAAATACGAGTCATTTTGCCACAATTCATGTACAGAAGGGTTCCGAGACTTCATTTCATTTACTAAGAAAATTGTAAATTGTCAAAAGATAACTCCTATCTTTAAGGGACTAGAGCTCAAAACACCTTGTAATAAGCAAATTCTGATTTATTATTATTTTCATACAGATTCTAATGAGAAATTAACAATTGTGTGCGGGTATATCAACAGTCATTATCTTTTAGAATTCCAAGGATAATTGCGAGTATATGGAATACAAAATAACAGTCAACGAAATTCTGTATCATAATAACTTATGCAGTGGCAAGCAAAACACGAAAAAGAAAGTGAACCCGAAAACTACATTAACCACTATTTCATATTATCAATATTTAGATAGAGTATCTTAGTATTTGAGCAATCAAACCTGCTAAAACTCTCGTTCCAGAACATAATTTGAAAAATTATTGTTGAGGAATCTTTTTCGAGTCATCCATTGACAGAAAATGAAAACACAACAGCATCTGTGTTTCAATATAGTTTCATTTCATTTCTGGTGGCTTTATTAACAAGGTTTTGAAAAAAAATTTCATTTTCTTCGAACATTTATTCAGTTTGATCGACGATAATACACGAAGTTTCTCGACTTTTCATTTTAATAACAAATGTTTTTATTTCGTGCGAAAATTTGCGTATTTGTAAATTGATTAATCAACGCATTCTCCCGACGAGTCGGGGAATTAACTGAATTAGCTTAAAAGTTATATTCGAAAGTAGACTGAGTGTCCGGACGTATTAAAATCCTAAAATTCGCAATTTAAATTCTGAGAAACGAAACTTTCATTTCGTTCTCGCATTAATATAATTTACAAATGAATTTAGAAAATTCATACACTGAAATTTAATATAAAGAACACTAAAATTTTTTAAACAAACAATTACGCGATTATTTTAAATTTCNGTCTAATCCAAGTTCATTTTCATTTTGTTTATATTGCACCTAAACATTATTAATTTAATTTTTAATTATTTTAATAGGTTTTTTTTTTTCAAATACATGTATTCTTTTACTCAAGAGCATGGCATGCTCTCTCTACTGTTTATTCTGGTCTTTATATTCTTTGAGTGCTCATAAGTTGTTTCTTCCTTTGCATCAACCTTTTAATGTTAAAATTCCAATATTGATCACTGCTTTGTATGGAATGAAGAACACAAGTTTATCTTTAAACATGACTCTTATGCAAGGACACAATATGACAAACTGAGATTTTGCATACAGCATAAATGCCTGACAGTCTCACTTAGTAGTCTTGTGTTTTTACGCACGACTACTGAGTGAGACTGTCAGGTATTTATGGCCTCAGTTCATTAAACACTACAGCAAGAGACTTTTCAATTAATCATTGTTTTATTTATGCTGGAATACGGGTCCCCAAACTTTTTATCCCGTCGAACCCTTTATACAATATTTGCCTTCTTATCAATCCCCAGATTAAGTATTTAACAAAAACATTAAATCATTTTTGCATTTCTGATGTTAAGCAATAAGGAGATCTGCATAACAACCCAACAAAAGAATTTATAGTTCCCATATGTTATAAAATCCACCCAATAACATTAAAAGAAAAAGGAGATATTTTCCACTGATTCGTAATAGCAAAATTATGGATAGATGGAAATTTGCCTGTACTTCTTCAACCATATGTGTCATAATATATAAAATACACAATTATCTTTGAAAACATAACATAAGTTATATTGGATGAAAAAACCTCTTACAGTCTTACCATTTTGTGACTTATGAATACCTTAAAAATATGTTAACATACCTTTTTATTAAAATAGTTGATATTAGTGGGATGGATGTGTCTGAAGAGAAGCAGCAAGATTATTGATATTCGGTTGAAAATTGGTAAGTTTTAGTTGCAAATCACCACTGTTTTCCAAGTTCAGTCTGTTCCTCTGTTTTGTCAAAATTGCGCTCGTGGCTAAAACCAGCTTCAACAATGTATGAAGTTGGGTATGCAAGTAAGAAAGGTTCAGCTTCTGCTCTGAGCTTGGGATATTTAGTGGCAATATTGTTATTGCTCCAAAATTCACTGAGGTTTTTATTTTTTAAACAATGCTTTAGCTTTAAGATCTACACATATTCCACTCAGTTCATCTTCTAAGCCAGGTTCTCTACCTTCATTATATATTTTTACATCAGATGGATTCGGGAACATGCATATTCTCAGAGTCTTCGAAACATGCTTTAAAGTCTTCTCTTAATTTATCATGATGTTTAATATATATCTCCAAATCACAGTCAGAAATCTTTTCATTTTCTTTTAGTACTCACAAGTTTGAAAAATATTTAAAATCGAATCATGCCAGTGAAGATTTAAATAGCTCCATTTTTACTTGAAAGGCCATTATGATTGTTTGAGCTTGAACAATTGTAACTGATGCACACTTTTAGAGTATCATGAAGTTCGTCACTCAGTTTTTTGGCTATAAAATGCTGCCTGTGTAGAACACAGTGAACAGTATGCACTTTAGGAACCTTTTCCTTCAGAAAACCGAAAAATCCTCTGTAATAGCCTACTATAGCAGGTGCACCATCAGTAGCTACTGCAGTAATATTTCAGAGAGGAATGCTATGCTTTCCTCTCTGAAATATTAAATAATCTTGCAAACATAAAAAATTGTCTCACCTTTTGAATTAGTTTCAAGATACTTAGCAAATAGAAATTCATCAACAGTGTCATTCAGGTACAGGCTATGAAACTTAACATAAGCTATGAGAAGATTTGAACTTCTGAAAGTTGATTCATCAAGTTGAATAGCAAACTTACAATGCTGGAGCTCAGAGGTCAAAGTTCTTTCCACATCATTGGCCATTTCCTCAATATATCGTTGCACAGTATTTGCACTTAATGGTATGCATTTTAAAACTAGTTGAAAGTCTTTCTTCATAACATTTTCAATTACATCTTTTATAGCTGGTATTATAATCTCTTCATCAATAGTATACGGTTTGCCTTTCTTTGCAATATTAAGAGAGATGCTGTAGGATGTCTTCAGTCCTCTTTCTCTATCAACACTAGCAGATGACTTCACATATGTATTCAAATTTGGCCGAACTCTCAATTTCTCTTTTAGTATTTTGAAATACTCAAAATCTTTGTTTTTCTTATCAGAATGGATTCTTTCCAAGTGGTCTTTCATTTGTGCCAGCTTCATAGCATCATTGCTGAAAGTTTTTTCATATAATAAGCACATAGAAATAGTTTCATTAGCAAACGATGGCACAAAACCATATTTCAAATATTCCTGTGAATATTGTATGCATTTCTTCTTAGCAATGGTAGCCAACATTGTGGGTATTAAAATCAGATTTTTAATATGAAAAACACAATACGTTTGCAGCACAACAAAACAGCAGCAGTAAGAGAGACAACTTACTCCCGCATGAGCTATAAAGAACTGCCTGTTTATTCCCAGAGTGCAGTGTTGCCACCTTTTGCTAACAATAGATATTTAGAATTGGAAAGAATTATTCTAAACTATTAAACTAAAGATATTAATAAATGTATGTGATTTTTTTCATATGAACATAATGTTAATTTGATTTTTGGTGAATTTTTTAAATAATATCGCCTGACTGACCTATATTGCCATTGGACAGTTTACAAAAAAGTTAAAAAATAATTTTGTAGAATAATAAAAAATATCAATAAATATTGGCAAAAATAAATAAACAATAATACAGAACAAACAAATAAGTACAGTTAAATCAAATTTTGACCATACAAATAATTTTGGGTCAGTACAAAATAATCCAGCTAGAGACAGATGGTTAACAACTTAAAAACCGACAAAATGACATTAAAAAATACATACAATATACAATTGACGCTGACCTTTTCATGGAGGATCCGACATCAATGACACAGCATTAAAAATTCTTCACACTCTCACTCTGGTACAAATCAGTTGTATTTATACACATCACAGACCTCTGGTGGAAAACTAGGAGAACATTGTAATTAGCATATATACATGAATAACAAAGTTCCAAGGATAAATTTTTTTTATTAAATATGTACAGTTCTTTAAATATCACTCCATCCTTATGATTTAAATTCAGCCAGATTGATACAATGATAAACGTGATAAACTGAACTGATTTAAAAAACTGGTTTTCTCAGGATGTGTTTGGACTTCTTACCTACTATTGACTTGGGACACCTAACTTTAACTAAGTTAACTTGTGTGTGAAAAACTAGAGAGAGTCTCTTGATTACTATTTTAAAAGCACTAGCATTTGTCTGAATCTGGCTTAAACCCTTTTCATTTGGAGACTTTGGCAATATTTTTATAATTATGCAACTGACCAACCTGCCATTCCTATATTGTTTTTGCCCATGAGCTTTAATTCAGTACTTTTGCAATGTCTGCATTGAAGACAAATAATGCTCTTGAATACAATAAATGAAAAAACTTGTGTAANCAAACTTTGATATCAGTCGGACATACTGAGAGTCCACCCTGTATATAGGAAAGGACTAGATTGGGATGTCGGTGAACCTACAAACAGTGGTGTTGAAATATGCACAGATGGCTCTAAAGACGGTAGCTTAGTAGGTGCCACGTACTGCGTCTTTAATGACAGAGTTCAGGTATACAGTCAGTCAATCAGACTGAATATAACACCCGTGTCACAGTTTACTCTGACAGCCAGTCGTTGCTTCAGGCTCTGAGCGACGGGTATCACAAGTATAAGTTGTTATAGGAGGTCAGGGGTAAGGTACCGAGGGCGAGGCACGCACGACACGTTGATCTGAGGTGGTTCCGAGGCCAGATCGGGATTAAGAGCTGGCCTCACATTAGTAGAGTACTCTAAGTGCAATACACGCTGCACACAACTGTATGGCATTGTAAAAGGGTTGAACTTCAGAGCGAGGAAGGTTGGTCCCAATTGGGTTGTATCGCCAGAGCCAGAGCACTTAACACCTCAGTGATTACTGGGTGGTAGACCAGACCTATGACTAAAATACAATCTGTTTTGTACTCTGTAGTGCCATTTGGCGAAGCAGAGACAATTTACTTAGAGTTGTTAATATGAGGTCGAGGACCACCTGCCGGGACCATTTCTGGGGATTTTTCGACCCCGTATCCCCAGAGCGGTAGGCTGCCACCTTGATCGCTCGGCCATTCTTGCAGTGCTCTATATTATAAACAAACTATAAGGAATCAAATTGGAGTTTTTGAAATTAAGTCAGAAAAAAATACGTGTTGTCAGACAGATTTTATTTACATAATTATGATGTGTGATTCAAAGGAATTTCTGTATTCGGTGAAAATGAAGAAATAAAGAAAATATTTTTTTTAAGTGAAATAAACTTATAAAATTTCAAAGTGAATTTTAAGGTAATAATCGTATATAAATGGATATTAGTATATATTACACCTGATTGAATTTATTAGTCTACAAAAGCAATTCTACAACCGTTTTAGATACGTCACCAAATACGAGTCATTTTGCCACAATTCATGTACAGAAGGGTTCCGAGACTTCATTTCATTTACTAAGAAAATTGTAAATTGTCAAAAGATAACTCCTATCTTTAAGGGACTAGAGCTCAAAACACCTTGTAATAAGCAAATTCTGATTTATTATTATTTTCATACAGATTCTAATGAGAAATTAACAATTGTGTGCGGGTATATCAACAGTCATTATCTTTTAGAATTCCAAGGATAATTGCGAGTATATGGAATACAAAATAACAGTCAACGAAATTCTGTATCATAATAACTTATGCAGTGGCAAGCAAAACACGAAAAAGAAAGTGAACCCGAAAACTACATTAACCACTATTTCATATTATCAATATTTAGATAGAGTATCTTAGTATTTGAGCAATCAAACCTGCTAAAACTCTCGTTCCAGAACATAATTTGAAAAATTATTGTTGAGGAATCTTTTTCGAGTCATCCATTGACAGAAAATGAAAACACAACAGCATCTGTGTTTCAATATAGTTTCATTTCATTTCTGGTGGCTTTATTAACAAGGTTTTGAAAAAAAATTTCATTTTCTTCGAACATTTATTCAGTTTGATCGACGATAATACACGAAGTTTCTCGACTTTTCATTTTAATAACAAATGTTTTTATTTCGTGCGAAAATTTGCGTATTTGTAAATTGATTAATCAACGCATTCTCCCGACGAGTCGGGGAATTAACTGAATTAGCTTAAAAGTTATATTCGAAAGTAGACTGAGTGTCCGGACGTATTAAAATCCTAAAATTCGCAATTTAAATTCTGAGAAACGAAACTTTCATTTCGTTCTCGCATTAATATAATTTACAAATGAATTTAGAAAATTCATACACTGAAATTTAATATAAAGAACACTAAAATTTTTTAAACAAACAATTACGCGATTATTTTAAATTTCATATTTATAAATTTTCAAAGTTTTATTCCTAACACTCGAAATTTTAAAGGAGGAGGAATTAAATAAAATTATTATTAATTTGTTGAAAATGTTACATTCAATCTTTACGAAAAGATTTATTAAATGAATTTATGTAGAATATTTTTAAAGCATATCTCGGGTATGAGAAATTCAAATTTTACTTACTTTTTACCGAAAGATTCTATACTTTTGTATCCAATCGTAGGATAGGTTTTTAAAGTATTCGTTTCATTTAAATTTTTATACGATTGCGACGGGCACAAATTTACAATTTCGATTTAAATTTTGACATTTTTCATTTCCCCCCTCTCATAAATGCACTAGCATTAGTTGAAAACAAATGTATACGAGTGGAATCCTTAGATTCCAGTCTAAAGTTTTGTTCCATTCGACCGGACATCAATAACCTCGATGGCTTAATATAATTTATCAAAATTTAAAAGTCCGAAGAACGAACTGCACGGTAACGACGAACGAAGGATTAAAAGAAAATATTTTGTCTACGTCACTAATAATTTACGTTTCTCGTTTGTAAAATTGTATTTGGGTCTTAAATACCTTGGCTTAATCCAGTTTATAAATATGTACAGGATGCGTATAAATTATCTTCTTAACGCCTCTTCCTAAATAAAACCGTTTACGATCCGGTAAGTAGTTAGACAAATTTTACGGAAGAACGAGTTTGGCGCATGCAAACACGAGGCCCTTTTTTTTCCCTTTAACACCAAATTTCCGTAATTTATTTCGAACCGCTATTCCCGCTAACTGATGACGTTAATTAAATTCTGGCTTAACTAATACAGAATGCGAGAGAGCGATAATATTTCGGATACGATTCGCTACAAACTTCTGAACTTTCGTTTCCAATAAATTCGTTTAGGATTTTAAAAAATAAATTAGCTTTTCTACATGTATTACTTTCATAGCTTAAAAAACGAGTGGGCTATATAGTTTATTTAAGATATTCTCAGTATTTATTGCGAAGAAACTTGTCTATACATATGTAAATAATGGGTTTTAATTGATTTCGGATTTTATAATATGTAGACATATCCCCTTTTAGGTCATTGTTTCCCGTGTAATATGCATTGACTGTATTACCAAAAAATATCTTATAAGGAGAATTTTGTCAACAGACGGATACTTTTAAAATAATTTATAGAAATGCTAAGCAGTTTTCTATTTTTATCCCGAATTATTTCTCTACAAAGAAGCCTTTTGTAGTAGGCCTACTACAAAAATTAGTCGATCGATATTTAAACAAAATGAATGGATTAAATTAAATCTCGAATTCATTTTTAACAGTATAAAAACGATTATAATGATTTTTCTAACTGCAACGAAGGATTTAAGAGAGCAGGGGATTCTTTTTGTGGTGTACAATTTGTACAACAGATGGCATAATATGTTTCAATATCTTTTAAGACGGATGATTTAAGCTTTAAATGAAGATATACAACCGAAAGTAGGCAATTCCATCCGATTCTAAACGCTCTCTGTTAGAAAAAAAAAATATATATATACAATCAAATTTCGATTTAACGTCGGCCTACGAAACTGGCATTAAATCGAGTGTGGCGCTAAATCTTATAATTATATAGTAACGACGTCTACACGCGAGTTTGAAAGTCAGATTTAATAGTTCACAGATACTACGGGTTCTGTATTTAATGTATAAAACGATGATCTTTGGCACTATATCGAGGTTCGATCGTATATATATTTTACAAAGAGAAATTCTTCAGACGCGATTAGCAGCGTGTTTATAAAGCTCGTGAAAGGAAAAGTCGGGTATAAAAAAAAAAAAACACAAGAGTAATAACAAATATCGGCAGATTGAAAGGTCGACTTATAAAGGAAAGGAGGAAGGACCAAAAAAAAAACGAATA